TGAGTGAGAATGGACGGGTGGCACAGTGGTGGGCGGCAGGAACAGAGCCCCAGAGGCTATGGCGGCCTGAGGAATGGCCTCCGACCCACAGTCATGTGCCTCATCCCTGGAGATCACCTGATCCCTGAAGATCACTTCCATTCCATTCCATTCCATTCCATTCCATTCCATTCCATTCCATTCCATTCCATTCCATTCCATTCCCTCTATTCCTAGACTTCGGAGGGCCAAGTGCTAAGAACTGATGGAGATAGAAGGGGTCAATTACTCTGAGCTGCTTTTGTAGGTCGTTAAGGTCCTTCCCTTTACTTGGTCCAACTCAGGGATCCCCCAAGGGGATTTCCCAACACTAAGGTGGATCTAGATGGCTCCCAGACACCACAGTGCTCACACCCAGCAACCTGGCCCATCAGCATCCTGGTTGTCTCATTCCCACGCACGAAGGAAGAGTCGGCTGCATGAGTCAAACGGATAATGTCGGTGGGAGTTGCCTTCAGTTTTAAGGAAGTTCCGCCCCTTGCCCTGGTGATCTGCAGACCCAGTGACCAATTTAGAAAGCACCTTCCTTTGCCCTCTGGTGTTAAAGTGTTGAGGCTTGTGAGTGTCTTGTAGTTGCCTGTCAGAGGGGAGAGAAAGAGCAGGGATTGAGTGCCCTTCGAAAGGACCCTCCAGAGGAAAAATGTCCACCTCTTGTTCCAGGCTTCTCTGGATTCCTATTCCACGTTCTCTGAAGATGCAGCCGGGCATGCCTGCTGGCCAAGCCCATGGGGTAAAAGGTAAGGATTCAGGTGGGACTGAAGGCAGTTACACGATGTGGAGATCCTGGTTCCACTGGCAGAGAGACCTTCAATGTCACATAATCTCTCAGAGGCCCACTTTCCTCGTCAGGATATGTCGGTATGCGGTTTATGGGTAGGGGATGTGGAAGTGCTTTGAGAACACTAGCTATGCACTAATTATCCCTTGAGTGTATCTGTTCATTTTTCCCAACACCATTTACTGAACAGACTGTTTTAACCCCATTATATATTCTGCCAGTCACAGACAAAGTTTCTCTAGAGAGGATTTGCAATTTTATTTTATGTGGTTTTTAAAAAATCTATTTTATTGATATTTTACAGAGAGGAAGGGAGAGGGACAGAGTTAGAAACATCAATGAGAGAGAGACATCAATCAGCTGCCTCCTGCACATCCCCCACTGGGGATGTGCCCGCAGCCAAAGTATATGCCGTTGCCTGAAATTGAATCCGGGACCCTCTGGTCTGCAGGCTGACACTCTATCCACTGAGCCAAACCGGTTTCGGCTATTTTATGTGTTTTTAAAAAATATTTTAAAATTGATTTTAGAAAGAGAGAAAGGGAGAGGGAGAGAAACATTGATGTGAGAGAGAAACATAGATTGGCTGCCTTGCATGTCCCCCCACCAGGTATTGAACCCCCAACCAGGATGATGCCCAACGTCCTGTGCAACACTGGCCAGGGCTACATTTTTCTTTTCGATGCCTGGGATAAGACCAGCCGGGGGTCCTTCCTAGGACACCAACTTAATACTGGCGTCCCAGGCTCAGCTCCCCGACCTTGACACTTGTCCAAGTCTAGTTTCCATTACAGGGCTAAGTAAACATGTATCCCTGTGCAATCCACATTTTATGGGGACTGAGTAATCTGGACTCATGTTACATTGCCAAGATTTCATACTTGCTGCTCCTTCTGCCTCGAATATGTGTTCTTTCACCCTTTTTTCCTTTCCCCCCACCTGATTAACTAATCTTTCTTTTAAAATATATTTGTTGATTTTTATTTTTTTTTACAGAGAGGAAGGGAGAGGGATAGAGAGCTAGAAACATTGATGAGAGAGAAACATCGATCAGCTGCCTCCTGCACACCTCTTATTGGGGATGTGCCCACAACCAAGGTACATGCCCTTGACCAGAATCGAACCTGGGACCTTTCAGTCCGCAGGCCGACGCTGTATCCACTGAGCCATACTGGTCAGGGCTTAATTAATCTTTCTAACACTAAATTCAGGCCTATTCTTCCCCAAGATACTTTAATCTTGTTTAGAGAACACTTATATGTTCTCAGAGCACCCTGTATCTGCCTCTATCTTTGCATCTTTCCACACTGTATTGTAATAATCTGTTTACCCCTCTGTCTTCCTCCATGAGAACTCTGGGAAGAAATCACAGCATAGTTATGCTTGTTAGGTTTGATCAAATAATTGAAACGATGCCCCTCCCCTGGGAATTGATCTTTAGGCCACTTCACAAGGGACATTTATTTCCTTTCCCTTAGACCACATTCCATTTGCTAAGACCATTAACTCTCCGGACTTTCCCAGAATCCCAACCTGCCCAGAGAATTCTCTGTCCAGAAAAAGTCCTCCTAAAGTCATTTAAAATCTCCGACTCTTGGGTATGTACAGGAGGGAAGGGGGCATTGGTATATGTACAAAAATAATAATTTAATAAAAAAATATATTATAATAAAAAAATAAAATCTCTGACTCCCTGCCCCTGGGTGCTGGTGCCATTTGGGGGCTCAGTCCATCTGGTATCCAGATGACCCTTACCACACTGGCCTTGTGCATTCCTTCTTCAACAACCCTAACAAGGCTGTTTCCTCAGTGTTTATCACAGGGCCTGGACCATGGTGCAGTAACAAGTGTTTATGAATCAAGGGACGAATACCTGAATGGATAAATGTGGATGAATGATTTTGGAATGGACAATTGGGGGTTTTCAAAGAGGATGAAGGCTAAGTGAAATAAGCCAGTCAGAGAAAGATAAATATCACATGATCTCACTCATTTGTGGAATGTAATGAACAACATAAACTGATGAACAAAAACAGATCCAGAGACAGAGAAACATCGATCAGACCATCAAACCTCAGAGGGAAGGTAGGGGAGGGTGGGGGTAAAGGGAGAGAGATCAACCAAAGGACTTGTATGCATGCATATAAGCCTAACCAATGGACACAGACACCAGGGGGGAGAGGGAAGAGAGAGGGGTAATGGGGGAATAAGAACACATATGTAACATCTTAATCAATAAAGAAATTAAAAAAAAAAAAGAGAATGAAAGATGGTGAAGGAAGATGAGAAGAAAAAAGGGAAGTGACTGATATTTTTAAGTTTGTTTTGTTCTTGCTTAAGTGGGAGAAAGTTGTCATTTCATTTCATCAAAACTTTATTGAGCATCCAGTATGTGCGAGGCACTCTGCTGGATGCCAGTAATACAAAGATGAAGATCCAAACAAAATACAACAGAAACAAAATCCACTTCCTCACTCCTTGCCCAACCTCCCCAACCCCACTCAAGGTAAATCTGGCTTCAGCCAGGGAAGCCAGGCCGGGGGCCCTCGGGGATTTGGCATCAGGGTATGGAACACAGCAGACTCTCATCCCGTCCCACCCTCACCTTCGCCCCTGCCTCTCCAGGCTGACCAGCATCTCCCCCTTCTCCGAGTCCTACATCTCACACCTGCCTGAGCAACATACCCTGCACCTACGTCCCCTGCCTGGATGAGGCACCTGGGATGGTTAGGGGAGCAGTTCTGGACAATGAAGGGGAGCTGCAAAGGCATGCAGGCTCAAATGAGCCACAGGCATGCTGACCGCTGATGGCCAGGCCAGACGGGGAGGGGCTACCTGGAGATGGTTTTGCCCTTGGGGCTGGGACAAAACTTGCACCAGTGTGAAGGGTGGAGACAGGGGCCTTAGGAATTGCTCTGTGGGAAGGTGGAGAGTCAGAGCTGGAGTTCAGGAGGCTGAGGAGGGGCCTGGGATGCAAGGACGCTTGGAGGCATCAGAAAACAGAGGTCAGGAGACACAGAAGGTCTCCTCTTTCAGCTGTTCAATTGCCCTCTCTCCTCACACAGCAGGTTATTGTCTCTCCTACAAACGGGTCCATAGGCCGGGGCCTGGGCCTGGCCTGGCCACCCCGTGGCCCCACCTCTGTACTCAGATGCGGTGTGATTGGGGAGTCTGCCCTCCTCCAGTCTCTTGGGATCCGGGTATCTGGGAGCAGGGCAGGTAGAGGAGGGAGCCAAGGGTTGGATCACGTCTCCCTGAGGTGCTGGGAGCAATGAGCCTCCCCCCCCCCCCCTTCCCAGCCCCACTTCATTTCTCTGGAAAGTCAAACCTTGTTCTCTCACAGCTGGAGGGAGCCCACAGCCTTTCCGGGGGGATTATGATTGTTTGAAAGGCTGGTTGTGTAAGGAAGCCAGGGAGAAGGCACAGGCGTGAGGGTTAGAAACAGTTCTTCCCTTGATGTAGCTTTCTGGGTTCGGGGAGCGAGTGAGAATCCCTCTCTCTGGGATCAGAGACAGAAGGACCGCTCAGCATGCCTCTCTCTGAACCTCTGAGGGAGGCTTTGGGAGGAAGCAAAGGCCAGGGCTTGAATCCTCTGTTCTCGCTGGAGCCCAGGTCAGGGGGCAAAAGGATGCGCCGAGCTCCTCCCGCATCCACCGGTAGGTACCCAGGTAGCAGGTGCCCAGAGGCACTGCCTGCACAGTGATTTCCGGGTGTTCAGACCAGTGCCCTGTACACACAGTCCCTGGGATCTAACTGCCCCTTCCTCCAGACGGTTGGTTGTGCGTGTTGAGCAGAAGACCTCTGTGCCCCGGGCTTGCCCCAAACGTGCCAGGAGCCAGAGGGAAGGGAGGCGGGTGGGAAGGGCGCGGGATAGTCGCGGGAGTTAGGTTACTGATATTAGTTCCCATAAGATCCTTGCAGGGCTGTGCCGGATATTTAATAATCTACATAGTCCTAAGGGGGCACAGCCCTTATCCGCCGAGAACACTGCCAGCGAGCCAGCAGCAAACGCGACCCGGTTTCACCCCTGGACCCCCGGGCTCCCCGCTGCCTCCTCCATCCGCTCGAGCTCATCCACGTCCTCAGGCGAGACCCCTGCTCCGTGCGCTCCTGCGGGGGCCTCCCCGCCTCCCCGGCCGCCGCGCTTGCGGGCTTCCCCGGGGGGAAGGCGGGTCCCGGCGGCTCAGGCGCTGATGCCCACCGGGGCGGCCTCCTCGGGCTCGCGGAGCAAGCGCCCGCCCGCAGTCCGCAGGATGCCCGAGCGGCCGGGCGAGCCGGGGGCGCGGGACGGAGACGTGTGCGTCCGGCCTCCGGGCGCGGGCGAGGGCGCGGGCGAGCGCGGGTACCGGCGGGCGGAGCGCACGGGCAGCCCCGGTGAGCGGCCGGGCACCGCCGGCGACACCACCGAGTAGCCGGGCGGGCCGGGCTCCGTGGCGCGGGGCTCCGTGGCGGGCTCCTCCTCGGGCTCCTGGGCCTCCTGCAAGGACACGCGCCGGGGTGAGCGGACAGCGGCCTGGGTTTAGGGGCGCGACGCTGGTGTGCGAGGGGCGCTGGGCAAACCTAAGTGAAGGACATAGGTTCCCTCCACCCTTCCACCTCTTGGAAGATGGCAGACAGAGGTCTGGTTCCCTGCCCTCCAATCCCCTCTTCCCCCCTCCCAATCCCCCCTCCCCCTTCCCAATCCCTCTCCCCCTTCCCAATCTCCCCTCCCTCTCCCAATCCCCCCTCTCCCCTTCCAATCTCTCCCTCCCTCTCCAATTCCCCTCCCCCCTCCCAATTCCCATCCCCCCTTCAATTCCCTCTCCCCCCTTCCCAACCTCCCAATACAAGACACTTAGCATGGTGCCTGGCAGATAACAGGTGCTCCTTAAACAGTGAAATGCATGAACTCGAGTGTTTTGCCCCTTATTGTCCTCTTGCCACCTGCCTAGGGAAGCCTGGGCAGCGTCAGTGGAACAGAGGGGAAATTACCAGGGCTGATGTTCAAAGACCTGAACTGAAGGCCTAGACCTGCCCCTTATTTCCTTGGTTGATCCTGGGCAAGTGCCTCCTCCGCCTTCCTCGGCCCTATTTTCCTACCCTGTACAGGGGGGACGACATGCCTGTTCCTCAGGCCGCTCTGAGCACCATAAAGGGATATAAGCATCTAATCTGGCGCCAGGGCTCGTTGGGGTGTGGGGGGCACCCGGTCCACAGCCGCTCACCTTGTCCTTCAGCACATAGAGCGCCATGGGGTTCTTCCGCTCCTGTTCTCCACTTCGGGGGAGGGTGTCTGCTGCACAGGGCGGAGAATGGGGTGGCTGGCCCAGACCCAGAACCCTCCTCCCCGCCGGCCAGCACCTACTTCTGCTCCCCAGGGGGCCGGGCCAGGCCCCGCCACAACCTCCACCAAAGGATCAGCAGCATCCCGCGGGGTCCTACCTTGGCTGCACCTCTCCCTGCTCTGCAGTCTTCGCGCAGTTGGCGGAGGAAGGGGCCCTGCAGAGCCGGCTTCCTTGTGGCCGGGGTCCGCCTTTTCCCAGAAGCCCACTGATCTGAGTGAGGATGGGTTGGGCGAGTGGGCCGCTGGGAGCTCACCTTCTGGCTTCAGGCTGTCATCGTTCTGGTCCATGTACTCCAGGGAGTTTTGTTTTTCCAGTTTCTTCTTCTTTCTGCAAATCCACCCAGCACCCCGGGAACAGAGTGGCTGAGTGAGAGCAGGAGGAGGGCTGGGGGTGGGGACAAGAGCGAGGGGGATGGCTGTACAAAAGGCCGGATAACAGGAGGATGGGCCGGAAGGAGTCAACTCTACGTTTGCTGCTGGCATTGTGACTGTGGACAAGTCGTTTAACCAACTTGAGTCTTGGTGTCTTTATCTGTAAACTGCAAGTAATGATACTTAGAAGGTATGGGCCGAAACTAGTTTGGCTCAGTGGATAGAACATCCGACTGTGGACTGAAGGGTCCCAGGTTCTATTCCGGTCAGGGGCATGTACCTTGGTTGCGGGCACATCCCCAGTGGGGGCTGTGCAGGAGGCAGCTGATCGATATTTCTAACTATTTCTCTCTCTCTTCCTCTCTGTAAAAAAAATCAATAATATATATATATATATAGCACTAACCACAATCACAGTGCCTAGCCCAGGAATGGAACCCTGCACGTGAAACCATTATTAACAGTGTGGGTCTTTGGGGGTTGTGAGCACAGGAAGTGGTTCCATACACTACCCACTGTGGTGAGAGGGATCTCCTGGGAAGAAGTGCAGGGCCCTGGGACAAGGCATTTAAAGAGACCGCGAAAAGAAGAGAGCTTGGGTGTGGGTTGAAGGATGAGGATGCTCAGGGTGTGGGACCTGAGGCATTACCTAGACTTTTTGGAGGGTTTCCAGCAGGCACAGACCGTCACCAAGGTCACGAGGAGGAAGATGCCTCCGGTGGACAAGATGATGTAGAGGGAGCTTCTTTCTGGGGAGAGAGAAAGGCAGGGACGTGAGAGACGCCTGGGGGTGGGGAGGAGAGCTTCCTGCAGCGGTGGGAGAGAAAAGGAGCCCCAGGCAGGATGGCTGGCTCAGGGCAGAGCTTGCCCAGGGCCCCACTTCTCACCTGTGGCCATTCTCCATGGAGAGCTGGCCCATCTCTGCCTCCCTCTCCCTCCGTCTGGGGTGTCTTTAGCCCCTCGTGGGCTTTGAGCCCCGAGGGGAGGGCAGGCGGGGAGACTCACTGTACACGGTGATCTTGATGGGTAGGCTGCGGCCCTGGCTGATGGGGTTCTCCACCACGCAGCTGTACAGGTCATCGTCTTCCATGAGCACACGCGTGATGGTGAGCACCTTCTGGTCGGAGGACAGGAGCATGCGCGAGTCATTGAGGAGGGGCTTGCCGTCCTTTAGCCAGGTGTAGCTGGGCTTGGTGCCGTTTTCGTGGGAGCAGTTCAGGGTGAAGGCTTCGCTGAGCTCCAGCACGGTGGTCGATGCCACTAACACCTGTGGCCTCGAAATGGGCACTGAGCCCGGGGAGGGGAGGCTGTGAGCCAGGGGCCAGAAAGCTCCTCCCACCTCCCTAACTCCCTACCTTCCACACAGCACAACTCAGTCTGTGGTCAGAGAGGCCCTTCAGAGATCATTAGTCAAGGTCCTTTTTTTAAATTATTATTATTTTATTTTTATTCTTTATTGATTAAGATATCACATTAAGCCAAAACTGGTTTGGCTCAATGGATAGAGCATAGGGCTGCGGACTGAAAGGTCCCGGGTTTGATTCCAGTCAAGGGCATGTACCTTGGTTGTGGGCACATCCCCAGTAGGGGGTGTGCAAGAGGCAGCTGATTGATGTTTCTCTCACATCGATGTTTCTAACTCTCTATTCCTCTCTTTTCCTCTCTGTAAAAAATCAATCAAATATATTTTTTAAAAAAAGATATCACATTAAGGTGGTTTTTATCTTCAACCTCCCATTCCAACCCCTCACCCCCCCACTCAGGCCTCCATCCCCCTATTGTCCTTGACCACTGGTTAGGCTCATATGTGTGCACACAAGTCCTTTGGTTGATCTCTCCCTTTTATCCCCACCCTCCCTCTGAGGTCCAACAGTCTGACCCATGGCTCCTTATCTCTGGGGCTGTTCTTGTTCATCAGTCTATGTTGTCACCATTTCCCTTAGATGAGTGAGATCATGTCCTACTAGTCAAGGTCTTGACCACTATCCACCCATACATTCATTTACTCATTCATTCGTTTATCTATTTTTAACTTATCTTTATTGTTGAAAGTATTACAGATGCCCCATTCACTCATTTATTGACCAGCTATGTATTGAGTACCTACTGAGCACAGGAGGTACAATACTGAACAAGACAGCCATGGTCCCCACCCTCACGGATCTTCCCTCCCCCTTTCCCCCCAAATACCTTTCCTAAGATGTTGTAAACTGACTCAGTGTGGAACAACGAAGACCAAGTCCAGCTGCCTGGATTCAAATATTGGCTCAGTCACTTACTAGCTGTAAGACTTAGACAAGTCACTCAACCTTTTGGTGCCTCCATTTCCTCTTCTGCAAATGGTCGGCAAACTACGACTCTCGAGCCACATGCGACTCTTTGGCCCCTTGAGTCTGGCTCTTCCTGGGCAAGTCTATTTTGAAGAAGTGGCGTTAGAAGAAGTTTAAGTAGAAAAAGTTTGGCTCTCCAAAGAAATGTCAATCTTTGTACTGTTGATATTTGGCTCTGTGGACTCATGAGTTTGCCGACCACTGGCCTAGATTACTGTGAGCATTAACAGAGTCAATATGTGCAAAGTACTTACAACAGTTTCTGGAATACAGTAAGCACTCTTTACCTGTTTCCTGCAGCCTATCTGCTCACTGCTAAGGCCCCACTGGCTCACTCTCACCTCCTGAGTGGTTTTGTGTTGGCGTTCCGGGGTCTAACAGACCCTGCCCCGGTCTCAGGACCAGCCCCGTGCCTCCCCTGCCAGAGTGCCTTACCGTCTACGGTGAGGTTGATGGTCTTCTCCCCGGTGAAGGTGTCATCCGTGATGGAGATCTCAACCTCATAGGTGCCCTCATCGCTGAGCTGCAGGTCACTGAGGAGCAGGGAGCCGTTTTCAAAGAGGCGGATGCGGTCCCGATAGTCGGGGCGCAGGTTGCCAATGACCTCGGTGCCGATGGACTGCACCACGGTCACCGGCTTGTCCCGCTTCAGCTGCCACTTCACCACGGGCTTGTCGCTGCTGGTGCTGCTGTACTGCACGGAGAGCAGCGCCGAGTTGCCCACGGTGCCATGGATCAGGCGGACCTGGCTGGTGATGTTCACCCCCTGCAGGGGCCCTAGGAACAGAGGCCCGTGGGGAGCGGGTGGCATCAGACCCTTGGCTCCTTACCTCACTCCCACCTTCAATTTCTCTGATTTCTTCAAGTCTTCCATTCTGGGCCCTTCCCAGGTGTCCTTCCTTCTTACTCTCCGGTGCCTTCTCGTCTCCCCTGTAGCTCTGGGCCTCTCTGCTCCTCCATCATCCCTCACCCCCATCCCGTTGCCCTTAACTCTTCTTCCATCTGGCCCTGTGCCTCTGGTAGTGTCCCTCTGGAAAAGTCCAGCTCACCCTCACCATTTATAGAAATATTTATTGAGCATTCACCATGTGACAGGCACTGTTATGTGTCCTTGGGATAGATCATTGAGCAAAACAGACATTCTTTTTAAAAAAATATATATTTTATTTATATATATATCATATATATATATATATATATATATATATTTTTTTTTTTTTACAGAGAGGAAAGGAGAGAGATAGAGAGCTAGAAACATTGAGGAGAGAGAAACATCGACCAGCTGCCTCCTGCACATTCCCCACCAGGGATGTGCCTGCAACCAATGTACATGCCCTTGACTGGAATCGAACCTGGGACCCTTCAGTCTGCAGGCTGACACTCTATCCACTGAGCCAGACCATTTTGGCAAAAACAGACATTCTTTATCCTCTGTAGCTTTTAAGTCAATCGATCTTAGGGTGAATTTGTGAGGTTTTCTTGATTGAACATTGGGAGAGTGAGGTGGGGTGATGGAGAAAGCATGGGGACATAGATTCACAAAAAAAGGAGTATGTCACATGATGGTGCACTGAAGGGGAAGTGTAGGGGTCTGAAGACAATCCAGTTAGACCAAGAGCCTCTCCTATCCTTGCCCCAGCGGCACGTAGCATCTTACTAGGCCTACCCAGTGCAATACAGCCCTGTCATGAGGTAGATGATTTTCAAAATTCACCCAAAATCCAGCCCAATTTGTATTCCCTTTAGAAGAGGGATTTAGGATGAGTGAAACAAAAAGTTTGGAATCAGAAGGCCTTATAAGATTGGGCTCTTTCTGCCAATTAAACCTGATTCTTCAGGATGAAAACACTGAGAGGCTATAGCATATGGATTGCCCTAGGTCTGTGGTTGGCAAACTCATTAGTCAACAGAGCCAAATATCAACAGTACAAGAATTGACATTTTTTCAACTTAAACTTTTTCTAACACCACTTCTTTAAAATAGACTCGCCCAGGCCGTGGTATTTTGTGGAAGAGCCACACTCAAGAGGTCAAAGAGCCGCACGCGGCTCTTGAGCCACAGTTTGCCGACCACAGCCCTAGGTGGGAGTCTTCCTCCCGCCATGACTCATAGGGTTAGTATGGACAGGCGTTCAGACGTGACTGAGCAGTCTTCCTCAGAAGCTGACAAATAGAGCATTTTGCCAAGCAAACACTGTATCCCAAAATGCTTGCCAAAATTGGAGTCTGTATTAAGTTCAGGGTTCCACAGCTTTCAAGGGACACAGAGAACTGGGACAGGAGCCAAAGCAGGACACAGAAACGAGGAAGTGGCTAACAATTGTGATCCACAGCAGAAATAAAAGGGACTAGGACTACTCAACCTTGAGAAATGATTAACTTAATTATTGTCCTCTAGTCTCTGAGGCATCGGTATGTAGGAAGTGTCTGTTCCCACCCCAGGCTGAACAAAAGGAAATTGACTGATTAACTTAAACAGTGCCATACTGGGTCCAGGTAAGTGGCCTTCATCAAGGAGGATTTTGACCCCCTGTGACACCGAGCAATGTCAAGGTGTAAATGCATCTGCCAATAGCCTCGGATTCCCTTCATAGTCTCTTCCTTTAAAGACACCACCATCGACTTATTTTTATGTGCTAATTTTGCTTTGCAAAAGAGTCCACTTACTAGTATTTGCCTTAAATGTATCCTATATGATAAAAGCCTAATATGCTAAGTGTCCAATTGTCCTGTGACCTGTCAACTGTTCAACCAATCAAAACATAATATGCTAATGATATGCTAAGGCCACTCAACCACTTGCTATAATGTGCACTGACCACCATGGGGCAGTAGGTTAGCTTGCTGATCGAGACTGAGTGAGATGGGCTGAGATGGCCCTGGAGTCCTCCTGTGGTCCGTCTCTGGCTGGCCAACCTCCTGTGTCTCTCTCTGGCCCAATCATGCACCAGTAGGGTCCTTCAGCCTGGCCTGCACCCTCTTGCAATCTGGGACCCCATGGGGGATGTTGGAGAGTCAGTTTCAGCCTGATCCCACAGGCCACTCCCCTCAGGAGGGTGCCAGATGCATGGCTCACCCAGAGGGGCCCCACCTGTTCACAAATTCATGCGCTGGGCCTCTGGTCTTTTATAAATGTCAATGAGATGGTGTCAATCATGTATTGTAGAATTTGGTCTATATACAGACGTATAATCTCTAATACCATAAACTGCAGTTATATCCCTTTTTTATGTGAAGGATTTAAAAAATATATATATTTTATTGATTTTTTACAGAGAGGAAGGGAGAAGGATAGAGAGTTAGAAACATCAATGAGAGAGAAACATCGACCAGCTGCCTCCTGCACAACCCCTAACTGGGGATGTGCCCACAACCAGGATACATGCCCTTGACCAGAATTGAACTTGGGATCCTTCAATCCACAGGCCGACTCTTTACCCACTGAGCCACACCGGTTTCGGTAGGATTTTTTGTTTTGTTCGCATCTGTCTCCACAAGGAAGTCCCTTCATCCCTTTGGCCATCATAGATACCCTCCTCTGGCCTTATTCTAATTCTATTTTAAAAAAAAAGTTCTTATGATTTTAGAAAGAGAGGGAGAGAAAAGAAAACATATGTGCAAGCACAACATTGATTGGCTGCCTCCTGCACGCCCCCTATCAGGGATTGAGCCAGCAACCCGGGTATGTGCCCTGACTGGGAGTCAAACCAGCAAACTTTTGGTGCATGGGATGATGCCCAACCTACTGAGCCATACTGGCCAGATTTATTATTTCTTTTTGAGATGTGGTGACTAGAACTACATATAATAATCCAAGGGCAGAACACAGCATGGTTTTCTAAAAAAAATAAAAATAAAAAAGATTAAAAAAATATATATATATTGCTTTCTGATTTTGGTTTTTAATATTCTTCCTAATGAGTGACGCTCTGAGAAAACAGCCCACCCCTCAGCACCTGCTGTATAGGGGCGTCGTTGATTTGTGAACATGTTGTATTCTTAGGTTGTTATCCAGACCTTCAAGTGCCAACAAGAGTGTGAAATTATTTTAAGTGTCAATCACTTAGGAATGTAGATTAAAACCAAGGAACAGAAATGGTGAAGAAGGACTTTGGGATTCAGGATAAAAGGGGTCCTTGGTAGCTTTTTATCTACACTCTAAAGAGTGTAGATGTTCAGTAATTTGCACCCAGTTAATAGTATTAAAATGGCAGACAGAGAATTCTATGTTAACCACTGTTGTTAAGCTGTCAATTCTCCTAAACTGGCTTATGAATTTAATACAATCCCAGGATGTTTACTTTGTAATATTGGCACAGATAGACAAATAGATCAATGGAACAGAATAGAGAGAGTCCAAACATGGCTTGTATATGAGCACTTGACTTATGACAAAGCTGCTATTATCATGCAGTTGGGAAAGATTCCCTCTCCCCCCCCCAAAATAAATAGTGCGGGGCCATGTAGGAAAAAAATGAATCTTGAGCCCTAGCCACTTTGGATCAGTAGATAGAGCATTGGCCCACCGTCACAGGTTCAGTTCCAGTCAAGGAAACGTACCTCAGTCAGGGAGCAGTCGGGAGGCAACCAATCGATGTGTCTCTCTTACATGGATATTTCTCTCTTGGTCTTTCCCCCTCCCTTCTACTCTCTCTAAAAATCAATGGATTAACAAAACAAACAAACAAACAAACAAACAAACAAACAAAAAAGCTTGATCCTTACTTCACACCTTACACAAATATCAATTCTAGATGGACTGTATATCTAACTGTGAGAGGTAAAGCACCCATGTTTTAAAAAGAAAACACAGGGGACTATCTCCACAACTTGAGAACAGACACAGACTTCTTAGATAGAACACAAAAGTGTGACACTCATAAAAGAAGAAAATGATACAGTGGACACAATAAAATTAAGAGCTTCTATTCATCAAATAGCAGCATGAAGACAGTGAGAAGGCAAGTTGTAGGGTGGGAAGTAATACATATTCTATAAAGGACTTATACCCAAAAAATGTTTTTTTTTTTTAAATTCTTACAAATCAATATATTTTTTTTAAATCCTGAAAACTCAATAGCAAATGGGCAATAGACTTGGAATAGGTACTTCACAAAAAGGCTATCCAAATGGCTCATAAAGATTTGAAAAAGACACTTCATTAATAGCCATGGAAATGCAATTCTAAATCATAATTTGATAGCACCTCAAGCTCACTAAAATGGTTAAAATGAAAAAGAATTGTTGGTGGTCAAGGGAGCATCTGGAACTCTCAAATAATGCAGGTGGGAATGCAGATTGATACAACCACTTTCAAAAACCGTTTGGTTCTATTTACTAAAGCTTAACATGTGCATATAACTCAGTAATTCTATTCGTATGTGTATACTCCAAAGAATGTGTATCTCTGTAACCAAAACATGCACCTTAGGATGTTTTAACAACTATCTTCATAACTCCCCAAACAGGAAACATGGATGAATCTTACAAATTCAGTGTTCAGTGAAAGAGACCAGACAAAAAATAATGCCTAATCTGATTTCATTTATGTAAAGTTCAAAGACACGCAAAATTCACCTGCATTGGAAATTAGGATACCCCTGTGACCCTGGTGGGAGGGCAATAATCCCTGAAATTGTATGAGGTGCTAAAGTGATTGATTGCTTGATCTTGGGCACTGATTACATGAGTATGTTCACTTTTCAACGGTTCATCCAGCTGTATCCTTATGCTAAATGCATTTTTCTGTATGTAATGTTTAATTGAAAAAAATTAAAAAGAGGCTGGAATAGTTATAAGATCCCAAGGAGTAAAATCTTGAATGTTGGTTCTCTAGAAAACTTTCTGCACACATAGTCTTCTAATTCTCCCTCTGTCCTTGTGACTGTTCCTTTATGGTCTCCTCAATGAGATTTTTTTCCTCTACAAATCGTGGGGTTACTCAATGTTCCATTTTCAGCCCATTTTCTCATCCTAGGTGCTATTATCCATTCTTTATTTTAAATCTTACCTATGGGCTGACAGCTTCCAAATACCTCCCATCAGTCCTGGCCTCCCTGGTCCCCAGGTTCAGGCTATTCAACATTTTCCCACAGATGTGTCATAGGTATTTCAATCTTAACATGGATTATAGTAATGATCACATCCCTACAATTTTTGACACACAGAACCAATACCTCCCTCTCTGGATCCTCCCACTTTTAATCAATCACCAGGTCCTGACTTTCCCTCCAAAATATTATCTCAGCATTCCTCTTTATTCTAATCCCAGCCCATGCTGTTTCTCTCTCATGAATGACTGCAGTAGCCTTTTATGGGTTGAACCGCGACCCCTAAAATTCATATGTTGAAGTCCTAATCTCAGTACCTCAGAATGTGACCTTATTTGGTTCTTGTGGAGGTAATAAGCTAAGATGAAGATGGGCCTCTAATCTAATATGACTGTTGTCCTTATAAAAAGGAGAAATTTGGACACAGACACACACACACAGGGAGAATAACATGTAAATGCTGAAATTATGCTGCCATAAGCCAAGGAACTACTATTAGCAGAGAGACCGAGAACAGATCTTTTTCTATCGCCATCGGCTGAGTTTTGCCGCGAGACGCTGATCTCAAACTATTAACCTCCCAAACTGTGAGACATTAAATTTCTGTTTTCCAGGCCACCCAGTTTGTGGTCCTTTGCTCTAGCAGCCCTAGGAAATGAACACAGGTGTCCTTTCCTTTCTTGTTTGCCTCCAGTTCCTGCCAGTGCCTCACTGCAGAGTGAGCTAACCCAACACCCGTCTGGCCCTCCACCTCCACTCCACCATTCACAGACTATTCTGGTTTACTTGGTGCAGTTTACCAGGCTTTTGCCGGACTGATTCACACTTGCCTCTCCAGCAGTGGAGAACAGCTGGGCTGCTCTGAAACACAGGATGCCACCTCAAGCTGTCAACCTTTGCCCGTTTCCCCAAAACTAATGCCCACTCCCACACTTATACTTATTTTATCTGATCCTTTAAAATGTAGTCAGACATTCCCAGGTGACCTCTCCTGGTATTCCCCCCAACCGCACCCTGCACCACCAGCACCTGTTTCCTGGTGGGGTGGGTGACTTCTCTCTGCTCCAAAGCATCCTCTGCATATCTGACTCAACATAGTTTCTGTGTTTTACTAAAATGATCTCTGCATCTGTTTTGTTCAACTAAATTGTGTATTACTAAGCTTTCTGGTCTCTCTGTGTGTGCATAAACAAATATACTTAAAATAAGATCAATTCTCCAAATGGTTGGTAGGGGGTGGAACAGGAGACAGATGTCTACGGTGTAGGGTGTTATGGGTAGTTTACTGTGACTCTCTGAAACCAGGGAGCTTGTTATTGCCAAAGCTTCTTATATTTCTTGCTATGTCTGATTCAGAGAGGCCGGGGCAGGAGGCCGGGGAAGCCCAAAACCAAGATTCCGCCACCCCGCCAAGCCCCACCAGAATCCTTGCAAAGAATGCCGGAACTGGCCAGTCCCAACAAGCCATCCTATAAAAATGGCTCATTGCCCTTCATCTAATGTCCTGAATGCCGTGGGAGCTCCGAAGTCATGCAGCCCTTTGGGGGAGGGGGCAGGGGCCGTGCAGAATGAAGAAATACATTCAACACTAATGCCTGAATTCACTGAGAGGCTTCCCACGCAGCCGAGCTCTCCCTCCCCTCCTCCCACCCGAAGGACATTCTGGCCCTCCACGCTCCCCTCCCTCACCTTGGGAAGCCCCAGAGCCTTCGACAAACCCTCTCTTACCCTTCCGGTCTCCTACCTGTCTGGATCAGAAGAAGGTAGACGAAAGGAGTGAGGCGCAGGGCACTGAAGGCTCTGGACAGGGCTCCCCTTTCTCTCTTCATTTTGGGTGGCGTTCTCCAGCCTCGGTGCAGACAATTAGCATGATTTCTTCACTCTGGGCACGTCCCTTTGTACCACTCGGAGTTTCTCTGCCCAAGCACAACCCTGCCAACTTCGCTCTGAATACACAGAGCTCTGTGTGTGGCTGGACTTGTTCTTTCTTCTCTTTCAGACCTGGCATTTTTTCTAGTTTCAAAGCCCTGACATCCCCAGTTTAGAAGTGGGAGGGGGGGCATTTGCTTAGGAGATAATCTTCAGAGGGGTTGCCAATCCAATGGGTCCTGGGGGCCCATCAGTTCTTCCCTGTCTGTGATGAGAACCAGTATGAGGGGGAGATGAGGATTTGGGCTCAATAGGGACTGAACTGGGATGCACGCTAAATGGGACTTGTGTCCCAATTCATCCTGTCTCCACCTCATGCTTCTTATTCCTGAGAAGGAAGGTGTATTTGAGGGATAGACCTCCAATAGATTTTTAAGTATATATATATATTTTTACAGAGAGGAAGGAAGAGGGATAGAGAGTTAGAAACATCTATGAAAGAGGAACATCAACCAGCTGCCTCCTGAACACCTCTCACCAGGGATGTGCCAACAACCAAGGTACATGCCCTTGACCGGAATCGAACCTGGGACCCCCCAGTCTGCAAGCTGATGCTCCATCCACTGAGCCAAACCGGTTTCGGCCTCCAGTAGATTTTTAAGAGGGATAGAAGCTTTTAAAAGGCTGGGGAATAAGAGACTCCAGAGAACTACTGAAGAGATGGAAACCCCTGTTCCATCCCAATGGAAGATTGGAATGTGGCCTGAATTCTATTATTTTCATATCTGTCGGGTCCTCCTTGGGGTTCTCTTTTCTATCATAGAATCACGTAGATACTGAGTTAGGGCCTCTTTCCAGAAGCCACTCTGTTTAGTCCTCTGCCTCCAGCAAATTTTCTCCAACACGTCAGAGCAAGGACAAAGGTGACATCCTAGCAGCCAGCATCCTGGGTTCTGTCACCAGCTTCTCAGCCGAGTGGCCTCTTCTTGCTTTCAGGCTTTGAGGAGGAGTGTCATTCTAGCTCTCCTGCCCCCTCATCGCTATGTCCACCATTCCCATGAGGGCTGCCAGTAGAACGTATGGTCACCAACTTGTGTGATCTTGAAACCTGACTCATAATTTGTTAACCATCAATTTCACACCTGTGAAATGGGGAAGCTGTAGTTTCCTTGTAGGAATTGTTAGGAGGATTGTTGGAGATATGGAACAGTAGAGTACCTAGGAAATTCTTTGTTACAAAGAGGGGTGGGGGAATCTTGGTTTTGTGTTTTTCCAGCCTCCTTAAACTTTAAACTTTAAAAAAAGAACTCTTCCTCCTCCTCCTCCTCTTCTTCTTCCTCTCTTTCATTCCTGTAAGGAATCTTTATATCATGATTAGACCAAAGTTTACAGCTCCCCTCTTGATAATCTCTAACCCTGGTCTTAGTTTTGCAATAGTTGCCTCTCAAAATATCTTTTTTCCATCCTGGAGAAAGCCCAAGACACCAAGTTTCTACAATGAAAGACCCGTTGTGTAGTTCAATAAGTCAAAGGATGGGGAGAAGAGTTGGGAAGCATTGGCTTTGAGCTTCACAAAGAAACTGCAAAAAATCATTCTGATTTATATAAATAAGATTCCCCCCCCCCCATCTGTATTTCTGTCTTTAACTTTTCCCTAGACAACTCAAGGCACCTGTCTGTCTCTGGCAGAGTTATGGTTGCTTCAGCAGGTGTGAAACGGAAAAGAGAAAGTCTATATTCAGCTTCTGACACAGTCTTTTAGAGTCAGTAGCAAGACGCAAGGCTTGAAAGCCAAACTCTGTAAGAGACAAAAGGGTATTTTAATTTCTTTTTATCTACTCCTTTGAAATATCATCGAACAACAGCCTGTGGACTGGATAACAGAGTTTTTCTACAGGACTAGAGACAAATGGCCTCTTTTGTCTCTGATGGCCAGGCCCCTTAAGGCTTATTGTCTGAGGGTACAAAGAGTATATGATGTTCAGGAAATAGTCTGAAGACTGCCTTTTTCAGCCTGAAGACTGTGGAAAGAAAAATGTGACAGAGGAGCCCAGCTTGTGTGGCTCAGTGGTTGAGCATTCGACCTATGAACCAGGAAGTCACCGTTCAATTCTCTGTCAGGACACATGCTGGGGTTCCAGGATCAATTTCCAGTGGGCTGCATACAGAAGGTAGCCAATTGATAATTCTCTCTCATCATTAATGTTTCTCTCTCTCCCTCTCTGAAATAATATATATATTTTAAATATATATAAAAATATATATTTTAAATATATATCAAACAAATATATATTTATTAAATATATAAAATATATATTGAATATTAAATATATATATAATGTGGCAGAGGAAGACTGAAGAGCAATGTAAAGTCTCAACATCCCCCCTTTCCCTGTCCAGAAATAAACTTTCGGCTTATACCCACGCAGATTATGTAAATGCTTCAAAGTGCCCACAAGCTTCCTTGAGAAGACCCGAGATACTGAGAGAAGAGGGTAAAGAACCTACAGAGTGCTGACCTGGAGCAAAGGAGCCACACTATGCAGGCAATGATGGGCCACCAGCTGCCCTGGTGGGAGTCATACATATAGCTCATCAGAGACCAGTGGGAACACATAAGTCCATGCATATTGTCTCCTTCTGAAGCCACATCACCTGTACTACCCCCACCCTTCTTAGACAGGAGCTGGGTTGGGGAGGAAGTGAATCACTGATTAAGCAATTACCAGCGTTACCCAAGCAGAGACCTAGCTTCCTTAAGAACATGTAAAGTGGTTGGTCAAACTGAGCTGCTCAGGATGGATTAACATTTAGTTTCCTTTGCTGCCCTGGGGGTGGGAAGCTCACGGGAAGATCAGAGCAGCTGCAAAGGAGCAGTTCTGCAGTCCTCTTTTCAGGTCTTCTTAAGATGAGAAGACCACTGAAGTTCGTATCATCTGCGAATGTACTTTCTCTCCTAAGAAGTAGACAGCTCTTCGATTGAAAGACTGTGTCTTACTGGTCTCTGAGCCCTACTGCCTCATACAGGGCAGGAAACAGTAGGTGCCTACTAGAGTTACTGAATGGGCAAGAACTTGAGGGAGTTTCTCAAGAATAAAGAACATGGCCAAAACCGGTTTGACTCAGTGGATAGAGTGTTGGTCTGTGGACTGAAAGGTCCCAGGTTCGATTCCAGTCAAGGGCACATACCTTGGTTGTGGGCACATCCCCAGTAGGAGATGTGCAGGAGGCAGCTGATGGATGTTTTTCTCCCATCGATGTTTCTAACTCTCTATCCCGCTCCCTTTCTCTCTGTAAAAAAATCAATAAAAAATATATTTTTAAAAAAGAATAAAGAACATGGGTAGATGTCCATTATGAATATAAATGGAGAGAATAAAGAACAACTGTGAGAGGGAACTGGGATAGAGGAGTAAGAGCAGGGAGGGCACCAAATAATGACTGCCAATGACAGACCAATTTGTGAAGATACGAGGCACCCCTTTGTGAATTCCCAGAAATAAAGAATTTGCTTTGAGGAGGCTAATGAGCCAATAGGCTGTAGGCAATTGGGTTACAGAGATATAAGTCAACATCCAAGCCAACTTGTTCTCACACATGACACGTAACATTGACCTCAACTGTCTTTGCTTATCTTGTTTTACCATTCCATGTGTTCTGTTTTCTTCCTTTATGTCTGTCCCATATAATTGTTGACGATGTGGGCTGTGTATTCTTTCTTTGACATCCTGATTATAAACATTACAGTTCTTAACTTCAAAAGTATATTTATACCTGTCAGTCTGCCTGTCTAACTTTTGAATGAGAAAATGTGCTTACTGCAGCCACCTCCTCCTTATCCTGGGTAATTCCCTGGGGCAGAAACTGTACCTCTCCACTCTTCCAGGTCTCCTCGCAGCGCCTGATTTTGAATTCTGTATAAGGTGTATGCTAAAACAATGGTGTGGACAGATGCCTGTCTGACCGCAGTAATGGCCTTGCTTAGCCAAAGCCATGCCCCTTCCTCCTCTGAGCATTTCAACAGATGCACTTTCAAGGGCATTGTCCTCTTCGGAGCTGCATAGGCCAGGCCTCTTGGCCCTTCTGTTACAGAGTTGCACACTCCTCGTTTGGCACCTCCTCTGGGATCCTGACTCCTCATCCCTGCACCCATGGCAGCTCTGGCTTCCTGAACTCAGACCTCTGTGCTGAGCACTTCCTGAAGCTCAGAATGGAGCCTTGACCCCTCACCCTCCACATGATATGTAAATAATAACCAATTTTATTTTTTTCCCATTTATCCCCCTATACCCTCTTCTACCTCTACTCACTTCCCTCCTCCACACAATCAACACGCGGTTGTTTGTGTACATGAGTTTCCTCTTTTTTTCTTTTTTCTTTTTTGCTCAATACTTTCACCTTCCCCAACATCTACTTCCCCCAAGACTTATCTGCCTGCTCTCTATGTATGAATCTGTCTCTCTTTTGCTTATTAGTTCAGTTTGTTCATCAGATTCCACACATGAGTGAAATGATATGGTACTTGTCTTTCTCTGTCTTATTTTACTTAGCATAATATTCTCCGGGTCCATCCATGTTGTCACAAAGGGTAAAATTTTCTTCCTTTGTATGGTGAGTAGTACTTCATGGTGTAAATGTACCATAGCTGTTTTATCCACTCATCTACTGATGGGCAATTAGGCTGCTTCCAAATCTTGGCTATTGTAAATAATGCTGCAATGAACACAGGGCTGCATATGTTTTTTTGAGTTAGTGGTTCAAGTTTATTCGGATAAATTCTCAGAGGTGAAAGTGCTGGGTCATAAGGCAGTTCCGTTTTTAATTTTTTGAAGTATCTTTGTGTTGCTTTTCCCAGTGGCTGCACCCATCTGCATTCCCACCAACAGTGCACAAGGGTTCCCTTTTCTCCACACCCTCTACCGTTAGATTTCAGGATGTCCCCACCCACTTGGCCTGTTCCTTTGTTCCCAGGCTCCAGGAAGAATGTTCTGGCACTGACATTACTAGAGAGATTTTGGCCTTACTAATGGCATAACATCAGTGGTGACTTTTATATTTAGCATTCCCCTCCCCCCACCTTTTCTTCATTCACTTCCTGTTATTGAGTCATATCTGTCCCTCCTCCACTAAATTGTAAATAATTTTTCATAGCAGAATGAAAAAAATCTTCTAATAATGACACCCAAATCACTCTTACAGAGGGAACGGTCTTTAGCAAAAAAATTATTTAGGTATGCCATATGGGAGGAAGGTAAAACCTTAAACACAAGTAGTTAAGGAACAAAAAGATAAACAATTGTGCATTAGAAATAAATAGGACTTGGTGATGGGGAAAGATAAGAGGAGAGAAATGAAGAAGGGGAGAGGGAATGAGAAAGCAACTTGGTGGGGATCTGAAGAAAACCTGAACATCTTGTACTGCTACACTAAAAACCTTTCCTCTTCTGTCTTCTGAAAAGTTTACTACACACAAATGTAATATGCGGGCTTGTTTCTAGCTGATCGAATATAGCTAAGGTGATAGGACAGCCACTCCCTTGATTAGGTTAAATGATATAAGACCCAGACTTAACAGACCAGAGAGAGAGAGAGAGATTGTTCAGTTAATAAAATAATTGCCGTGTATGAAAGGGCCACATGGCAAGCTCTTAGGCCAGCTCAGGAGTACTCTAATTAAATTAATAACAATGTACCTACCTATATAGTTTAAGTTTTAAAAATGTGGCTCTCCAAAGAAATTTCAATCATTGCACTGTTGATATTTGGCTCTGTTGACTAATGAGTTTGCCGACCACTGGTCTACCCTTTTACCCAGAGACTTTACTCTCTAAGCTACATGATGGAAGGTGGCCTCTCTGCCTATTCCTTGTGCCCCCTATTACTGATAAAGTTATTTTTGATTCTTTGTTTCTTAAGCCTATATGTGAACAGCGTTAGAGTGGTCCCTACCATAAGTTCGATTTACCAGGATGAGAGAGAGAGAGAGAGAGAGAGAGAGAGAGAGAGAGAGAGAGAGAGAGAGAGAACGAACCCAGGAGGCCCAGCCAGCCAGAGAGTCTGTAGAGCTGTGGCATTGCCTGGGCAACAAGGAATGTGTGAAGCTTTGTCCCGGGGAGGCAGAGCCTTGCTGTTCTAGTAGCCACCAAAAAAGACAGATTAGCTAGCTCTGGGAAAAAACAAGCTTTTTGTGGCCCTGGAGGAAGGCATTTTTTCTTTCCTTGTTCTTTTTTAAAGTTCTCCTAGGTAGCCCTGCTCTGGTTTGATGTTGAGAAACGTCAAATAGAAAGTGGAGAGGGAGTCGAAGCCTTCCCATGGCCTCACCCTGAATGCTGGTTTTGCTGCCTGCAGATTTCTGTAATGGTGAGGAGTCACTCAGAGGAAGAGCATTCTGCAGAGAGATGAGGTCTCCAAAGGTATGGGTTTGTTGAAACCGGTTTGGCTCAGTGGATAGAGCGTCAGCCTGTGGACTGGAAGGTCCCGGGTTCAATTCTGATCAAGGGCATGTACCTGAGTTGCAGGCACATCCCCAGTGGGGGTGTGCAGGAGGCAGCTGATGGATGATTTTCTCTCATGAATGTTTCTAACTCTCTATCCCTCTCTCTTCCTCTCTGTAAAAAAAAAAAAATCAATAGAATATATATTTAAAAAATTGTTAAAAATAATTTTTAAAAAAGGTATGGGTTTGTTGGGAGAAGTATGGGATCAGGGTGCAGGGTGGCACAGCGTCCTGGGTACATTTCTGTAAAGCAGAGGAGGTGCTCCCATTACTGGATCAACTGAAACACATCAACGCCTTTTCTGCTGAGAGTAAATATTTGATTTTTGAATAGAATTCCAGCCCCCTCGGAAACTGAGAGGAACCCGGGCTTGTGTCCATGGCTGCTGAACGTGCCCTATTCAGCTGCTCTCCAGAGGAACAAAGAGGAGAAATGAATTGGCTTTAAAGGGATGGAACGATCCAGTGTGCTGACCTATTTAAGCCGTAGTGAGGACATTCTAGAGAACATTTCTGGAGTCCTGTTCTTCTCATAGCAAATGAAAACAGGTTGAAAAGTCATGGGGAAGCCACACATACCCCCAACTCATGAAAGTTTTCATTGTTTTCCTTCTCGTGGATCCTCAGATGGTGTCCTCCCACCAACCATGTCCAGGGAAGGATTCACTCTCATCCTCTGTCTCTCGCCCCTTTTCCCAGAGGGAGGGGCAGACGTGGAAATCAGCTAGTCTGCTGTGGGAAGAGCCCCCCCACGTTCCAGAGATTAGCAATGCTACTGGTGGAAATGGGGTCCTGCCACAAAGTAGCAAGGAAAGCATTTCCAGGACCCGACACGTGGGAAGGTGAAGGTAGTGGTAAGATTGGGGTTCAGATAAAAGACTGCCTTATCTCGATCCATCATGTCTTATCTCCATCCATCCCACGGTGAAAGAAGTCCAGCCTTGTTTTCATCAAGCCCAGAAGAAGGGCCAGGGTCCAGGGTCTGTGCCATTGGTTCAATCCATGCCAGAGCTTAGCCCAGCTCAGTCTCTGACCCCATCCAGCTGGCTCAGTCTCTGTTCCCAGCTGTGCTCCAGCTATGAGGCCTTGCTGTTTTCAGGTTCAACGCATGTTACAGAGAGAGAGAGAGAGAGAGAGAGAGAGAGAGAGAGAGAGAGAGAGAGAGAGAGAGAGAAAGAATATGCCTATGTTAAGCTTTCATTATATTACACTGGTCTTTCAAACTGACCAATCTCTTTCCCAATCCTTCAGGGGTTTGTGCTGTATCCTCCTCCTAGATTTTCTGGGGTTCTGTGTCCCTTATCCAATCTGATTCTTTTCCCAGGCTAGAGACCTCCCCTTTATGGTCACCATCTTCGCTTTTACTGTTGCAAGTCCTAACGTTCTGCTGCTGTCATCTGGTTCCTACTGCGTATGTGCTTACTTCCCCCTGCACCAGCTTGGCTTCTATTGGGCATGTGCACAAATGATTGCCCTCCTCCTCCCCTGTACCCTTCCCCCAATCCTGCTACAAGGCTGGATGAGACCAAGTCCCTGCTACCAAGGATGTGTCAGTCCCCTGGGCAGCCTTTGAATGCTGTGGCTTTCTAGCAAATCAGACTTATCTTCTGGTTCAACTCCCTTGTTTATTAGGCTTACTGTCTGATTCTCTCTCTTTCTCTCTCTCTCTCTCTCTCCTCTCTCTCTCTCTCTCTCTCTCTCTCACACACACACACACACACACACACACACACACACACTCCATATCCAACTTCCAACAGGTCCTAAAAGTCCTGCCTCCCAAATATAGTATTCAAAATCCAACTACATCTCAATAACATCTCTACCATGAATGACTTTCCCATCCAAGACACCCTGATGTCCTCTTCAGATTCTTGGAATGGCCTCCTCATTGGTCTACTCGCTTATGCCCCATTCACTCAGTCTATTCTCATTCAGCATCTAAAATGATTAGTTAGCATTTTAAATCACACTATGGCACCCCCTTTGCTCAAAACCTCCCAGTGGTTCTCCATCTCAATGCCATCCGGTGGCTTACAGCGCTCTATAATATCTACGATTACCCACCCCTAACTTTTGACCTATCTCAAAACTCCCCCTCTCTTACTCTGCACACCAGCCTGCTTGCTAGGCTGGGCCCAAACACCTGGGAGTAATTGTACTCGCTGTTCCCTGTACCTGAAACATTCTTTTATAAAACACTTCCTTGGAGATTACAGTAGCTTGTTCCATTACTGACTTTGCATTGGAGTCTTTGCCCGAGAGTATCTCAGTGAAGCCTTCTCCTATCTAAACTTCATGTCTCCTCCGCTGACACACCTTATTTTTTTAAAATGATTTTATATTTTATTGATTGTTTTTTTTTTATAGAGAGGAAGGGAGAGGGATAGAGAGTTAGGAACATCGATAAGACAGAATCATCAATCAGCTGGTTCCTGTACACCCCCTACTGGGGATGTGCCCGCAACCAAGGTACGTGCCCTTGACCGGAATCGAACCTGGGTCCCTTCAGTCCGCAGGCCGAAGCTCTATCCACTGAGTCAAACCAGTTTCGACAACACACTTTATTTTTTATTTTTGCTTTTTGGGACAGTCGGAATGCAAAAGCGAAGCCGGGAACACTACCCAGCGGCCCCCGAGCACCCACTCGTTTCCGCCCGGTTCCTAGCGCCTTCACAAGCCCCGCCCCCTCAGCGGAAGTGACGGACTAGGCGCGGACTCCGCCCTCACGCCTTATTCGCCCGCCCCCGAGTAGTCCGGAAGGGGCGGGCTCAGAGAGGCTGAGGGGCGGGGCGGGGCGCCCCACCCGGAAGTGGCGGTTACCCGGAGGGTTTAGTTTAGCATCCAGGGTAGAGTTTGAGTTTTGTGAGTTGCGGGTGATCTCTCAGCGGCAGCGGGACCCGTAAGGCCTCAGAAATAGGCTTTTCTCTGTCCTGGGATCCCCTCCTTCTTCAGCGTCTGCCCCATAACCGGAAACGGATTATTCGGACTCTCCCTCAGACCCAGGTTCTCACACCCCCCCCCCCCCCCAAGCCCCCGTTCTATCTATCAGTCTCACCTCGCTGTGCCACCCCAAGGTACAGTCCTCCTCTCAGTCAGACCCTTCTACTCCCCATTTCTTCCAGAGGCAATTTTTAAGCCTCCCCCCTCCTCCCTTATTCCTCCCCGCTGCTTTTCCCTTCTTTCCTCTCACCTTCTTCCAGAATCCCCGTTCTTGCACTTGGTCAGGCTGCTTGCTGCCTTCTCCAAGGCTTCTCTCCGTTTTTAGGGGACTGTGGCTCATGGGTTAGGAAGTTTGAGCTCTTAACGCGGCCATGTGAAGATGATAAGCTTTTTTTTCTTTCTCCTAACCAGGAGTCACAGATTTCAGCAAGTATGGTCCCCCTCAAGAAGCATCGAAATACCCCAAAGTTGCCCCTGGCTTTAAATCCCCAGAAGAGCAAGGACGTGTTGGCAGTGCTGGCGGAGAGGAACCTGCCCATAGTGCCAGTTGGGGCATGGGTGGAACCTGCCTCACCACACACTTCGGAAAACACAGCGTATGTGAGTGTCAGTGTGAACCAAAATAGTGGGGTTCCTACCTCATCTCTCCCCCCCCCCCTTTTTTTTTAAGCCTCTCTGGTGCTTAGATAAAGATAAACAGTCTGAGGATGCTATTTCTCTTCGGTCATGAATAGATATATTCTTGCATGAGGGTTATAGAACAAACACGTGTCTATTTGCCAAAACTTACACACGCATACATACATGTATTTCAGTTTACTTCGCAAACTCTTGATTCCTTGTTATATGCACAAGCAGTAGGCAACGTCTTTATCTTCCAGACGTTCTGTAGTGTATTCAGGACCACCAGTTGGCCACACTTCATGTAACATTAATTATTATCACTTAAAGTTTTTGATACGTTTGGTAATGGAGATTCAGGCAGTAATAGAATATAAGAGGAAAAGATGAATTCTGACTGGGATTCTGAGAAATTCCATGGGGACAGAGACCTTTATGTTATGTTCTGTTCATTCCTGGCCTGGTTTATGGTAGGTCTTCAGGGAATACATGTTGAATGAATGAATGAATGAATGAATTAGGAAATACAGTTTGTGTTGGACCTTAAAGAATGGATCTGCTGTAAGTACAAGAGAAAGGGGCATTTCAGATGAAGGGACACTTTTGCAAAATTCACATGTATGTCTGTTTACATGATTAGACTTATACTAAGTAACACAAGAGGATAATTTTGTAAGAAGATTTTTATAATTTTTCACCAGACTTTCACTTCGATATTTGTCCAGATTTTATTGTGACACTTAACACATTACATTCATAGTAAATTGTTTATATATCTACTTTTCCTGATGGGGTGTGAGTTCCTGGATCACAGGGGGAAAAAAATCTTACTTATCATCACATTTCTGTCTTTATTTTAGTTCCTAACAAATACGGGCATTGGTAAGTATTTATGGAATGCACAAAGTGTGTGAAGGTCTTCTGAATGTATAGACAGGGTGCTGAGCATAAAGGTGAAAAGTATGAAGTACATTTACTTAGCGGTTCTTGATATGAGAGAAGAAATGTATGTTTAAATGTTAAATATTAATGCAGTGTTTATTTTATTTATGTTTTTATGTATATAAATTACATATTCATTTATTTCTATTCTGCCTATTTCCAGAAAGGATTTTAAGAGTTTGGGTAATGTATAACTAAGTGCTAAGACTATGGTATTTAAAGAAGATAAGACTTTGTGAATACTGATCAGGGACTCAAATGCAATGAAATGTTCAAATTGTTTAGAATATGTATTGGAATTGAGCATTACACAGATATTAAGTACCTTTCTATTCAAGTCTCTGTGTTATATACTGTAGAAGAAAGAAAGGAGAATTAAATATATTTTCTGCCCTCAAGGAGATCATAATCTAATGAAGGAATCAAGAAACACTATACTCAGTTAACATTAATCAGAGGTACTAAGCATAACAGAGCTGAGAGGAAGAAAGGATTGTAGAAGGTACAAGGAGGTTGGTGTTAGATGGTCTGGGAGATTGAGTAGGTCTTTACTAGAGATTACAGGAGGACATGTGGGGTTAAAAATGAAGCATAATTCTGAGTATGAAGACATTTTAGAATAAGATATTTTAGTGAGTGGTGAGAAATCTGGTGTGTCTGGACTGTTTCACCATTAGAGAAAATGTATATCATAAGATAGATTTGAATTGATTCATTAAGAATTAGCTGAAACCATTGAAGCCGGTTTGGCTCAGTGGTAGAGCGTTGGTCTGCGGACTGAAGTGTCCCGGGTTCGATTCCGGTCAGGGGCATGTACATTGGTTGCGGGCACATCTCCGATAGGGGGTGTGCAAGAGGCAGCTGGTTGATGTTTCTCTCTCATCGACGTTTCTGGCTCTTTATCTCTTTCCCTTCCTCTCTGTAAAAAATCAATAAAATATATTAAAAAAAAAAAAAAAAAAAAGAATTAGCTGAAACCGGTTTGGCTCAATGGATAGAGCGTCGGCCTGCGGACTGGAAGGTCCCGGATTCGATTCCGGTCAAGGGCATGTACATTGGTTGCAGGCACATCCCTGGTAGGGGGTGTGCAGGAGGCAGCTAGTCAATGATTCTCTCTCATCAATGTTTCTAGCTATCTATCCCTCTTTCTTCCTCTCTGTGAAAAATCAATAAAATATATAGTTTTAAAAAGAATTAATGACACAGTTCTCAGTTCAATGAGAAATTCAGATTAGATTTGAGTACTCTAAATTCCAATTTTTAGTTTGTGATTTTAACTTCTCAGCACTCACTAGCTATGTCTAGATTATCACCTCTGAACTCCTGTGATTTCTTTATTCTCCTGGGAATTTTGGATTATAGAAGTGAGTTATTTTTTTTTTTTTTCAGGATTGTTTCCTTACTTGTGTTTATAACAGGGCCCTATTGGGAAAAACAGTTGACATTAAAGTTCATTTTCTATCCTTCATCTTTAAAGACGGAAGCATATATAATTGAAGAAAAACTAAAAGAACAGGCAAGAAAAAAACAAGAAGCTTTGAAGCGTTCTCAGAGACTAGCCAAACACCGAGTAAATCAACGAATTAGTATAAGAAAAAAGCAACAGCTTCAGAAGCCTTCTGAAGAAGTAAGTTCAAAGTGAGCCCGAGTAAAGAGTGGAAACTGTATGTGTTATGAGATAAGCTATTAGTATCAGATCACTTTCTTTTGATTCCATGCTTTGTATAATCCAGTTTGCTGGTAAGAGCAGTAAATCTGTATGTAGAGAAACCATGTCTTATTCCTATGTGGTTCTGACTCATTTTTTGCTTCTACTAATTAAAAACAGTGTTTTGGTTTCCTTTTGGGGTTTGAAGTTGGGCTTATGCTATTTTAAAAATTAAATTTATTGAGGTAACATTGGTTAATAATATAAATATTTCAGGTATACAACATAATTCATCGTCTGTGTACTCATTATGTGCTCACCACCCAAAATTTAGTTCTCTTGTGTTGTCAGATATTTGATCCTCTTTACTCATTTTGCTCTTTCTCTCTGGTAACTATCATTCTGTTGTCTGTTACCTATGAGCTTGTTTTTGTTTGTTTTGTTAGTTTGTTACTTTTTGTTTGATATTCCACATAAGTGAAGCCATATAGTTTTTGTCTTTTTCCATCTGACTTATTTCACTTAGCACAGTACCCTCAAGATCATTCATGTTACTACAGTAGCAATTTTTTAAAAATGTCTAAGTTATCTATCTATCTATCTATCTATCTTTATCCATTCATCCATTGATGGACATTTAGGTTGTTTCCATGTCTTGGCTATTGTAAATAATGCTGTAGTAAACATAGGGATACATATATTTTTATGAATTAGTGTTTTTATATTTTTCATGTGAATACGCAGAAGAGGAATTGTTGGGTCATATGGTAGTTCTATTCTTAATTTTTAAAGGAATCTCCATACTGTTTTCCATAGTAGTTGCACCAATTTACATCCCCACCAACAGTGTACAGGGTTTCTTTTCTCTATATCTTCTCCATCACTTAATATTTCTTGTCTTTTTTAAAATAGCAATTCTAGCAGGTATGAGGTGGTATCTCATTGTGGTTTTGATTTGCATCTCTCTAATAACTAGTGATATTGAATATATTTTCATGTTTGATGGCCATCTGTATGTCTTCATTGGGGGAATATCTGTTCAGATCCTCTGCCCATTTTTAATCCGATTTTTGTTGTTGTTAATTGAGTTTTATGAGTTCTTTATATATTTCAAATATTAGCCCCTTATCGGATAGGTCATGTGTGAATATCTTTCCATTTGGTGGGTGGCCTTTTTGTTTTGGGGATGATTTCTTTTGCTGTGCAGGAGCTGTTTAGTTAGCTGAAGCCCCAGTTGTTTATTTCGCTTTTGTTTTCCTTGCCTTTGGAGTCAAATTCACAAAAAACATCTCTGAGATCAATGTCTTGGAACTTAATTTTTTTCTATGTATTTTGTTATTTCGGGTCTTAAATTCAAGTCTTTATTCAATTTTAAGTAATTTCTGTGTATGATGTAAGATAGTGGTCTAGTTTCATTCTTTTGGATATGGCTGTCCAGTTTTCCCAGCACTGTTTATTGAAAAGACTTTCCTTTATCCATTGTATGTTTTTGGCTCCTTTGTTGTAAATTAGTTGCATATATAGGTTTATTTTGGGGCTCTCAATTCTGTACCATTGGTCTATATACCTGTTTTCTGCCAATCCTATATCGTTTTGGTTACTATAGCTCTGTAGTATATCGATAGTTTGAAGTTGAGGAGTGTGATTTGTTTATATTTCTAGTAGTTTGTTGGTAGAGTCTTTATTTAGGGTTTTCGGTATATGTAGTCATGTCATCACAATTAGAGACAACTTTCTTTCCTTCGAATTTGGATGCCTTTAGTTTTTTTCTTGCCTTATTGCTCTGGCTAGGACTTCTAGCACTATGTTGAATAACAGGTTAGGTGGGTATCTTGTCTGTTCCTAATCTTAGATGAAGAGCTTTTAGCTTTTCATCACTGAGTATGATTTTCTCTGTGGGTTTGTCTTAGTGGCCTTTATTATGTTGAGGTACTTCCTTTCTATTCTCATTTTTTTAGTTTTTTTTTTTTTTTTTTTTTTTTAAAATCAAAAGTGTTTGCTATAACTTATCAAATGCCTTTTCTACATATCTTGAGTGGTTACATGACTTTTTAAAAAATATATCTAGAATTAGGCAGCTGGACTCAGTTAAGATAATCCCAAATTTGTTGGCAACGTCCAAAGCATCATCGTCAGGAGCCAGTCAACACATGCCTTCTTCTCGCCATCACGCCTGATCAGTGTTGACCTTGGCCACATCAGTGTCAGAGAGCTTCTTCACAGCCTGTTTGATCTGGTGCTTATTGGCCTAGACATCCACAATGAACACAAGTGTATTGTTGTCTTCTATCTTCTTCATGGCTGACTCGGTAGTCAGGAGAATTTGATGATGGCATAGTGGTCAAACTTGTTTCTCCTGGATGCACTCTTCCGAGGTTATTTAGGCTGCCTCCGGAGCCTTATGTCTTTGGCTGTGGGGAGGTAGGTGACGTGTGTATCTTTTTTCTGTGGCTGTGGACACCTTTCAACACTGCTTTCTTTGCCTCCAAAGCCTTTGCTTTGGCTTCAGCTTTGGGAGGGGCAGGGGCTTCCTTCTTAGCTTTCTGTGCCATCTTCATAAAAAGGAATTACGTGATTTTTATCCTTCATTTTGTTAATGTGGCATATCACATTGATTAATTTGTGGCTGTTGAACTATCCTTGCATCCCTAGAATGAATCCCAGTTATCATGGTATATGATGGTATAGATGTTTAACTTGCTGTAGATGTAAGGGGATATGCAAAGGGATCTTCTCACTTCTCATGATCTGGCTTATGCTTTTTTATTAGCAATGTGAACTTAGGGCTAATGACAACTTCTCTGGACTGTAGTTTCTTCACCTCTAAAGTGGAGATATAATACTTGTCTCATAAGACTGTTGTGAGAATTAGATGAGATAATGTAAATTATTAGCACATAGTAAGTGCCTGGTAAATATGATTTTGCCAGATTTCTGATACATCCCCCTGGAACCAATTTTAAATCTTTTGGCCGCTTATGACATTATTTGATTGTATTGGGTTGGGGTGGAATCTCACTAGATTCATGTCACTCTTCCTTTGTGTAGGTAGAAGAAGAAGAAGATACTGTAGCTATGCTGCCTTCAGATCGAGGACAATTAACTTCTAAAAGAACAAGTGTTTTTCCAAAGAATTTGAATGCTGCTAGTGGAAGTGCTTGGTTATCTCCTTCCCAGAAGCTTGATGATGGAATAGAAAATAGGGAGAATCAGAATCAATTATTACAACAAGCCTTGGCTGTAAGTGCATATTTACTTTAGATTTACAATTTTTTTTAGGTGTATGACATATTAGGATATGAAGTAGAGATGAGGAGGTACCACATTCAACTTCACTTTTTCTCACCTTTTTAGAAATCTTTATAAAGTGGGAAATAGTGGGATGATGTTTATTTTAATATATGTTTAAAAATATCATATTTATTTTTGGTAAGACAATTTAGAATCATCTTATATAAGGTACCAAAGTGTTAAAGTTCAAAGTTATTAGGAAGAGCTTGGGCCAGGTAGCTCAGTTGGTTAGAGCGTTATCCTAATACGCCAATGTTGCGGGTTTGATCCCCAGTAGAGCACATACAAGAATTAATCAGTGAATGCATAAATAAGTAGAATAACAAATCAATGTTTTTCACTCCTTTCCTCCATCTCTCTCAGTTTGTAGCATATGGACAGGGTGATCCAAACCTCTGTTGCAAAAAGGTTACTACATATATGGGGAATTTTGTTTGTTCATTTTTTTGGTCATTTAATCTGATTCTCATAATAAATAGTTCTAAAAGTCAAATAATAATATGGGAAAGTCTCAACACATTCAGAAGTTTGTGTAACTTTCATTTAGTGATTCATTTTATATACCTGATATTTCAAAATTAATCACCATTGGTAGATTCATTCACTTGAATCACTTGATGCCATCAGTCAACTCTATTCATATGCTTAGCTTTTGTCCAGTTGATATCATATATTTCAAGTCTGCTGTGGGAATTATTCTTCATCTTAGCACTTAAACATTGTATTCCTAGGGATAGTGAGAGGAAAGCAAAATGTGGAAAATGATATTTTTGTGAAAATAAAAGTTGTGTAACCACTAACGTGTTTGGTCACAGTATGAAGCAAATCCAATTGTGTTATTAGTATAAATAGGGAAAGCTTTATAAGCACATGTTGTGTTGAAATACTTAAAAACATTTTTTTCTTTATCCAAAACTACATTTTCTTTGTTTGATTTGTAGTCATCATTTTTATAATCATTTTTGTTTTCTTTTATAAGATTATGAATAATTTGTTTATGAATAATATGCAGTGCCTGGCTCAGATATTTATTGAGCCAGGCACTGCATACAGTAAAAGGGATAGAACATTTATTAAGACAGACACAGTCCTTGCTTTTATGGCCCTTATAGCTATAAATCCCACCAAAGTAAGGATTTTATTTCATCTTGGGGGGCTAATAGATCAGTCCACCAGATGAACTGTTTGTTCAACATTGTAGGGATACTAATAAAATGTGAAATAGGACCCTTTGTGGGTTTATATTTACATGTAGACATACAAAGCTTATAGACCCCAATTTAATAGACATTAATATAAAGATACTTGCTGTATTTGATGGTAAAGTTGTGTTTTGAAATAATTTAAATTCCAAAGGAATAGTTAGGGAAGAATTCCTGGAAGCAGTGGAATCGAGCTGCATATTTTGAATTGTTAAGCTGAATTGAATTGGTAAATTCAAGAGAATTTTGAGATAAGAGGGACAGTTAAAAGTCTGGAATATGTATTAAGCTTGATATATTTGGGAGTAAGTGACAGAACCTTTCTAATGCTAGTTTATAGAGGAGAAAATAGAAAATGAGGTTAGGTAGAAGGACATCAAGTTATGAGAAGCCTTAAACGTTTCAAAAATTTAAAAAGTTTTTATAATCCTTTTTTTCTTAAAAGATGAACTACTAAATGTTCAGTGATTTAAACCAGTGGTCACCAACCAATAGTCCGTGGACCACTGGTGATCCGTGAGGTCCAAAAGGTTGGCGACCGCTGAATACTGCTTCAAGCCTACAAACTTTTATCCACACCATACCATGGCAATAGATAGTTTCTTTTGCAGTTTTTATCCACTAGATGTCACTAAGAGCTAGATAAGTGAGACTGTTCAAGCATAGCCGCCTTTAGTTTATCGAGAACTGGTTGCGTAAATAGTGGATGTGATTCTCTTTCTGAATGTAAGTGTACTTTTCAGTTTTCTTACGATTTAAGGATGAAATAGTTTGACATCTGGGGTGTATTTCAAAATAATGTAAGGGTGAAGTGAAGCAGGGGGTTATAAATAAAACAAGATCGGCCAAGAGTTATAGATTGAATTTATTTACATTTTACATTAAGTGTTAGAGAAGAAAAGACATTATCTAGTCTAACCTTTCTCTCTCTAAGGAATTCTTTTTATAATGTTTCAAGGATACATATGGCCCTCTAATTTCTGCTACAGCATTGCCACTGTTGATCAACTTTCTTTTTAGATTTTAGAAAGTTTGAAATAATAACAAATATTACTCTTTGGGCCTGGTTTTGTACTCTCAAGTTATAGAAGATAAAATACCATGTGATCCCTAAGAACACATCGGGTATTTGATTATAGCTATCATTTTTCTCCTTTTGGATTTTTACATTCCTTGACTCTACTAGCTTTGGATGTCTGCTAGCATTCCTTTGCTTGTGGCCATATCATACCAATCTCTGCCTCTGTTTTCACATCACCTTCTCTTCTATGGGTCAGATCTTCCTCTACCCCTGATAAGGATACTAGTGACCTAGCGTGTGAAATTGCGTGGTCCCGCCCGCCTCCCAGCCTTGACATCCTAACCTCTTCACCCAGAGCTGGAGCATGCCTGGCCCCGCCACTAACCCCTCTGGGCTTCAAGCCCCACCCTTGGTCCCTCAAGTTGCCTCGGTCTGGTCCTGCCATCTTCAGAGCAATGCAGTGGCTCCGCCCCATCATGGCACCAGAGGAGAGTGTGGAAGCCTCCTGTCTGCTGCAGAGTTTCAAGCGCTGCTTCCTGGTGGCACACGCACTGCACTCCATCCCCTGGCAGGTGGGTGGCAGGTGCGCTGAGTGCAAGCAGTGGGTGGCAAAGGACTGGTGAGGGGAGCACTACGGGCTCTCACCCCTTCCCTCCCTGCCATGGGATGGTCCCGCCTCCTCCAGGCACCACCCTGCTTCCGCTCTGTCTCCAGAGCAACTTGGCAGCTCTGCCCCACCACACACGCAGCCTCCTGCTGAAAGGGCATTACGGCATGAGGTTGTAACGACCATTAGCATATTAGCTCTTCATTACATTTAGGGCCCATCTGGATAATCCAGTATTATTTCCTCATCTCAAGATCTTTAATTTAATCACATCTGCAAAGGCACTTTTTCCTTATAAACATTTAAAAGTTTCAGGTATTAGGACCAGATATCTTTTGGTAGCCATTTGTTAAATCCTCATAGCAGGTCATTGAAAAGGCCTTTGGATTGAGGTTTGATGAAGGGTTTAGATAATGACAGAGGAAAGAATGAATATAATATATATCCCAACTGCTGGGCTAGTTGAAATTCCTGCGTATGGCACTAAAATCAATCTGTGACTCTAATAGAGTTTTAAACTAGATGAGAAATGAAAAGTATGTATCCTCATTTAAATCTGTCTCATTGTGCAGGGCAATAACTTGCATCCTACTTGGCAATGAGTAAAAGGAGGCATATTCGCCTCTGGTGTGGCTTAGTGGCTGATCATTGACCCATGAACCAAGCGGTTGCCAGTTCAATTCCTGGTCAGGGCACATGCCTGGGTTTCAGGTTTAATTCTTGGGGGGACATGCAGAGATAGACGATCAATGTTTCTTTCTCATTGATGCTTCTCTCTCTCTCTCTCTCTCTCTCTCTCTCTCTCTCTCTCTCTCTCTCTCTCTCCCTTTCTCATAAAATCAATTTAAAAAATTTTTAAAGGAAACATATTTATGGCTTTGTATTTTTTTATAACCTCAACTGCACATATACCTCTTTTTGCATTTTAGGTAACTTGTGATCCCTTTAGCCGCTCTGTGCTAACCAAATGTAGGAATCTCCCTCCTAGTAGAATAAAGATTGGTGTTTCAAGCAGATTTCTCTGGTTAGAGTTATAGAGATTCTAGAAACAAGAATAAAACAGAAGTGATATGTGCTGTAAGGAAACTGGGCTGGTTGTGAGAGTATTTTTTATCCCTACTTCACTATTAAAAAAATCACAACAGTATTATTTACTAGAAGCCTGGTGCACGAAATTTGTGCATTGGTAGGGTCCTTAGGCCTGGCTAGGATCAGGGCCAATCTGTGGGACGACTGGCAGGGTGATCAAGGCCCCTGCTCACCCCACTTTGGCTGGGCTGGCGCCGCCCACTCACCAGCCCCACCCCCCGCCCCGCTACTGCTGCCAGTCACCTCCCTCTGCAGGGCAACCAGCGGGGCCATCAGGGGGCCTCCACTCACACCGACCTTGGCTGGCCTGGCACCGCCTGCTCCCCTGTTCGCAGGTCCCACCCTCCACTGCTGTAGCTGGTCAGGGTCTATGGGCTGGGCAGCTCCTGCATTGAGCATCTGCCCCCTAGTGGTCAGTGCACATCATGCAACTGGTCATTCTGCCGTTCAGTCAATATGCTATTAGAATTTTATATAGATATCGTGTTCCCTGAAAATAAGACATCCTCCGAAAATAAGAACTATGTACAGGTTTCCTTCTGAGTAAAATATAAGGCATCCTCCCGAAAATAAGGCCCCCCTAGGCTAAACATGAGAGATTTGGTCCACTGATTCTGAAAGAAATGGAGTCCCAAGAAATTCACCAGGAAATTCAGGAATTGGATTGTTATGATGATGTTCCAGAAGATGACATGATTGTCATTGAATAAATGAGTAAATTTTTGATACTGTAGGATTCACAGTTTGTCTGGTTTGTGTTGACAACTACTGTACTACCGTACCGTATACAGGTAATAAATTTCCTTTATTTTCATTTAACAATAAATGTATACCGTATTTTTCTTCATTGAAAAATAAGACATCCCCTGAAAATAAGACCTGGCGCATCTTTGGGAGCAAAAATTAATATAAGACACTGTCTTATTTTCGGGGAAACAGGGTACATATCTATAAATCAGTCATGATTTCCCTTCAAGGGAGAACTATTCTCATTAAACTTTTACTGGATGGGTTAGAACTGGTCTCTGTTTTGCCATAATTTCACTGCATGACACAAGGATATGCTTTTCTTCAATATGATATATAATGCTTAGCCTAAATTAAAGGTACTTTGTTCATTTCTGTATTTTCCTTTAAGGAACATTCTATACAGATTTGTGAAATATAGAGTAGGCTGTGCTTCTCTGAAAAAGAATTAAAAATAGGTGCTTATTGAAATTACTAGGTAGAGATTAGGAATGAACACAAAGTCAACATATTTGGTATCAATACTCATTATCAGCTGTTACTTAGAGTACTTAAAATTAGTTGGTTCTGTTGAGATGTTTGAGTTTGAATCCTCAGGTAATTTAGAAAGGCTTCATGGAAGAAGGGAGATTGAGAAAATACTTTAAATAGCTACAGTCAAATGTAGGGGTGAAGAAGTGGTCATGTAAATAGGAAAAAAAGATTTTAGGAGGACGAGGAATTAGAGACATTTAGCAAGGAGTGATAAATGTAAAAGGTAACTAAGAATGCAAGGATCAAAAGGTAATAAGTCTGTATAATAATTTCTAGTGTAATTCAAACTTTTAGGTTCTGATAGTTTTGTGTACTAGTATAAAACATACCTTATTTAAAAAAATTTGAGCACTAAATCAAGTTATGAAATGCAGCCTCTTAATAAAAATAATGTAAAAACACTATCAACAGGTCACAGTCTCCTTTATAAGTAATCCTCTTGTCTCAGGTCTCGCATTTCTTAATAATAGGGACCTGTGTTCTTGTTGGAACATTTTAGTGAATTTGGTATTAAGACATTTGTTTGCTTTTTTTCCCCCTTTCCCTGACAGCTTAAGAAAACCATGAAGCAGGCACGTTACCAGCTGGCATCCTTTAAAACTATGAGTAAAAAATTTTCAGCAGTGTTTCCACATGAAACAAGGGAAAGCTTTTCCACCGATCAGGTAAATTAATTTCTAATTATTTTTTAAAAATAGAGATAAGAATACAGATAAATATTTATATATAATTTCAACATTATTTACAACCGTAAAATAATTGGAAATAACCTTAAATATCCAATAGCAGGGGATGGTTAAAAAATTATGATATATTGCTGAAACCGGTTTGGCTCAGTGGTAGAGCGTCGGTCTGTGGACTGAAAGGTCCCAGGTTCGATTCCGGTCAAGGGCATGTACCTGGGTTGCGGGCACATCCCCAGTAGGGGGTGTGCAAGAGGCAGCTGGTCGATGTTTCTCTCTCATCGACGTTTCTAGCTCTCTATCTCTCTCCCTTCCTCTCTGTAAAAAATCAATAAAATATATTTTTAAAAAAATTATGATATATCAATATATAGCCATTCTAAAAAAAAAATCATGATTTCAAAGAACATCTGAAGAGAAGGTAAAGTGTCTTTGAGATAAAGTTTATTGAAAAGAGTAGGATACAAATTTATATACAATATAATCTCAATTTAAAAAAATCATTCAACAAATATTTATGGGACATCAATAAATGCCAAGACATTGTGTTAGAAGCACGTGAAAAGATGGACAAAGATCCTCAAGGAGCTTCTGTGCTGTAGGGAGGCATATAATAAAGAGATATCTATTATATATAGAATATAATTTCTAATATATATTCTAATATATATCTAACTCGATATATATCCTAATGTATATATTATATATAGAACGTAACTTCAAACAGTAAGTGCTATGAAAAAAAAATAAAGTAAAATAAAGAGATGGGGATAGAAAGCTACGGTAGACAAGAAAGGGAGAGAAAAATTATTAAGGCAGAACCAACAGGGTTTCCCTTCTGAAAAGAAGAGCAAAACGTTCAGCAGAGGTCAGGTAAAGCAGAGTGAAAGGAGTTAGGATAATAGAAATTAAACTAATCTGATTTAGACTGGGGATGCCTGTACTGTTGTATTGGTTTGGGATTGTAGATTTAGGTTACGTGGACCAAAGACAATAATTTCACATTTTAGTCTAATAAATTTGTTTGAGAACCATATCCTTTTAAGATAATTTTAAGAGTCTCTGTAAAACCTATATTTGATGTTTATGTTCACTTTTAGAAAGCACAATTCAAAAATCCATTATATGATGTAATAGAAGAGGAACAGCTAAGTAAGTTGCATCCTCAGGATACTCTGCCAGAAACCCAGGGTTATCTTTCAGAAGACCAAGATGATCTGCTGGAGAGCCAGGGTGATCTGACTGGACTGCAGAGTGTTGAGCTGGAAGCCCAGACTATTGAGCCACATTCCCAGGCTGTTGAGCTGGCAGGCCAGCCTATGGAAGACCAAGTTGTTGAATCCAAAGCCCAGGTCATTGAACATAAAGTCCATGTTTTCAAGATGGAACCTCAGTATCTGATGCTGGAGTCAAAAGATGGAAATATGTTGGAAGTCCAGGATGTTTTATCCCCAAATCAGGCTTTTCTACCCAAAGATCAGAGCATTCTATCCAATGACCAGAATATTCCACTCAAATGTCAGGACCAACATTTTTTACGCAAAGATCAGCATGTTTTCCCCAAAGACCAGGATATTCAACCCAAATATCAGGACCAGGATTTTATACCCAGATTTCAGGTAAAATAGAGTGGTAAGGAGATAAAACAAGAAGAAATAAGATACTTAAGGTTTGGAGTGAGATTTGCAGGGACTGATTTGGAGATTCATAGTTGGGAAAGATAACATCCTGGTTGATTTCTAAAAACTCTGGAGTTCTCATTAAATCTTAAAGTAGTATCAGCAGCATGTTACCCCTGTCTGGACAATATATATACACACACACACACACACACACACACACACACACACACATACACACACACACACATATATATATATACACACACATCCACACACACATATACATACACACACACACACATATATATACACATCCACACACACACACACACACACACATATATAAAATTGATTTCAGAGAGGAAGAGAGAGAGAGAGAGAGAGAGAGAGAAATATCAATGATAAGAAAGAATAATCAGTTGTCTGCCTCCTGCATACCCCCCACAGAAGCCCTTGACCAGAATCAAATCCTGGACCCTACAATCCCCAGTCCAACACTACTCACTGAGCCAAACCAGCTAGGGCTGGACAATTTATTTTAAATAAAATCTTTATTAAGGAAACTATTTCTGGTAGCCATAATCTGCTTTCACAGCTAACGATAGGCAAAGGAGTGGCCCACAAGTGGCCAATAGTATCTTTTACCAGGGTCCAAGGCCAGCCCTCCCCTAGAGATCACTTAGACCAGAAGGAAGATGTAAGGGATTAGCAGGAATTACTTAGGGATTAGCAGGAATTACTTAGGGGTGTGGCTGGGCTAATGTGGAATAGAGTATAGTGTTTTGTTTTATTCCATAAGATGTCCAGTTATTCTCTGACCTCAGAGAACTCCAGAATTCTCACTATAGCCTAAAGCACTATTGGTTAACATGTCTTTCTAACTGAACAATTGCTATTTTGTGTTTGTCCTGTCTTAGAAAGCAAGTTAATGCAGCCAGCATCAATTTGGGTAGGTAAGAGAGGGAGAGAGGTATTTCCATCAAAATGAGGCCTCTATCAGGGACATGGTAGAACAGAAAAGAGAGAGAGAGACCAGCAAGAACTGAGTTGTGTAGGGTTTAGTTTGGAGCTTGCAGAAATTGTTCTCAGCTAGAACGGACAAAAAGTATGGTTTCCTGTTTTATTCGATAGTATCCTAAGTTTAAAAATTACCATAAAGTTCACAATAAAGCCCAGCCTGTTATTGCTATCATATTCCTCCTACTAGACAATTTACATTTATTATTTTTTTCTTTTAGAAAGTCCGCTTCAAGGAGCATTATTCTGTTATAAATGAGAAAGGGAGAGATGACTTTTGTCTGGCAAGTTATCAGTCTCCGACTCCTAAAGTCCAGGACCAGATGTTCATCAGAGATCAGGTAGAATGGAATAAGAGAGAGATAAATGGGAAGTAAAGTGCTAGATTTTAGACATTCTCATCAACTGCTGATGTTGCAGTGTAGAGTCAGGTGCAAAGGTCCCTAGTCTAATGACCAGTATCAGTCAAATCAGAAAGCTACTAAACCATGTTCAGATTCTTCTTCTTTGTTGTTATACCTCACCTGAGGATATTTTTTTAAATTGATATTTATATAGAGTGCAAGGAAGGGGGAGAGACAGAGAAACATTATGTTAGAGAACCACATCAATTGGTTGCCTCCTGCATGCGCCCCAATCGGGGCCAGGGATCGAACTTGTGACACGGTATGTACCCTTGACTGAAATCAAAAAGACCCTTTAGTTTGCAGGCTGATGCTGTACCCACTGAGCCAAACCGACTAGGGCACCATGTTCATATTCTTAATGTAGAATCAAACTCTTTTAATTTACTAAGATGACATTACAACTTTTGCTGAAGCTCGTGGAATTACCTTGTGGTAATTGCCCTGACATGAATAAAGTAGGAAGAAGTAGCAGATCCTAAATTACTTAAAATTATAGGTGTTTGTCAGACTATTCTGTACATGGTTTGGGATTAAAAATTAAGGCCTACAGAGTTGAGCTAAAAGTGTCACATTCTTGTTCAGATAAAAATGTATCAGAATATCTTCACCTGATACCATTTCCTTGGTACTATTTCACTGAAGCCTATAATATTATGATTAGCATGTTGCCCCGGTGAGACAATTTCTTTTCTGTGTTTTTGTTTGTTCCTTTAGAATATGTTATTCAAGCAGCCATCATCTTTTCTGAAAGAAGTGGGAGTGAGAGATGAATATCCTATGGAGTATCATCATTATGTTAACCCTCAAGTCCAGGACCAAGCCTCCCCGGGAGATCAGGTAGAACAGGACAGTGGGGAGGATGTCACTTTGCAAAAGAGTAACAGAGACAAATTACTTAAGATTTGGGCTGGGGCTTATCAAGCTAGCTTGTACGTAGGATACATAGATTGAAGGCTTCTGGAGTTAGGTTAACAATGTCATCTTTTTTGTTCTTTCAAAATGAGCCCCTTCTAAAGACTCCAGATGAGAAAGCATACCTCTCTCATTTGGGTTAACCGAGAGAGAGGTTTTATATAATATTGGTTGGTTAACAGTAAATTTTTTTTAAAAAAACTCTATTCCTGTAGCCTATTTATTTGGCCTTATACATCTGTAATATCTATAATAATAAAAATGTAATGTGCTAATTAGATTGGACGTCCTTCCGGACAACCTTCCGGATGAAGCCAGGGTTACAAGTGAAGCCCGGGTCCCAGGTGCCTGAGGGATGCCGGTACTGGTAGCTGGGGAAAGGAAGGTCTTCTCTTGCACAAATTTCGTGCATCGGGCCTCTAGTTATTTTATAAATGCTGAAGGGATTCTACACTTAGTAAATGGATGCAGGATACCAATCCCAGGCATCCAGTTTGCAGACCAGTTATGGTAGATACAAGTTATTTGCTGCCTCAGAACTTCCTGAACTTTACTATCTCTAGTGTTTGTGCATGAATTATTGGGGACACCAAATAGGAGTACTTGTGGAAATGACACAACTCATCTCCTGGCTTTTCCTTGGGAAAATGCTAGCAACTTTATAAAAACACTGGAGGCCTGGTGCACGAAACCGTGCACTGGGGAGGGGTCCCTCAGCCCAGCCTGCCCCCTCTCACATACTGGGAGCCCTCAGCGGATGTCCTGCTGATGGCTTAGGCCCAGTCCCTGTTGGAGCAGTCTGGCCTTTCTTTGCGGGAGGCAACCAGACTGTTCAGGGGAAGGCGCCAGGCCCATCACCCCACTATTGCAGCCACTGCCAGTCACCACAGCCATCAAGGTATTTTCATCAACATGGACTCCAGTCCCTTCACCATGAAAAAATGACAACTTTCTTTAGGCATTTTCAAGATGTGCCTTTCATAAGATATGACATTTCTTTCTTTTTTTTTTTTCTTTTCATCCTCACCTAAGGATATGTTTCCATTGATTTTTCCCCCCCTCTTCCCTCTGGTTCCAGGCTCAGCCACTTCCCAAGCCTACAACCTGCACTCCAGGCTGTAGGCTTGGGAAGCAGGCACACCCCTGCCCCTCCAATGTCAGGCATAGCCCTTCCCAAGCCTACAGCCTCTGCAACAGGTACACTCGTCCCCCAAGCCTAAAGCTTCTGCGGGATGGCCAGCTGGGAGTGACCTGGGTGCCGAGGAGGTTCCTGGGACCCAGTTATGTATGCAAATTAACTGCCATTTTTATTGGGTTAATTTGTATACTCACTCTGATTGGCTGTGGGTGTAGTGGAGGTACGGTCAATTTATATGTTTCTCTATTATTAGGAAAGATTGCTTTGTTGCTTTATCTTCTTTTAACTATGCTATTGAATAAATAGTTTCCCTATGCAGAAAGAAAAAGTACCAGAACAATCTGGGTTTTGCTTTAAAATACTCCAGAAAAAAAGTGGGAGATAGATGAAAAAATAAAGTGTTGTCCATTATTGAAGCTGGGTGAAGGGTATCTTGGGATTCATTATACTGTGTTTTTTCCCTAGTTTGATGTGTGTTTGGAAATTTTATATTAAACACACACCCCTTTGTGAAATTATCCTACCCTAGAATCATTATTCTGGGATTGTCACTGAAATCTACATTATTGTCACTAACCCATCATTTTTACTTAGACAATTAGTTTTTTTTTTTTTTAATCTTTATTGTTCATATTATTACAAATGTTCCTCATCCCCCCCCCCCCCCATTGCTCCCCTCCACCAGGTTCCCACCCCACCCTCTGCCCTTTCCCCACCCCCCTTGGGTGTTCTTATCCTCATCCATAGGTGCACAGTTTATGTTCAGTCTCTTCCCACACCCCCCTCTCCCCTTTCCCCAAGAATCATCAGTTCATCTGTATAATATTTTTTATTTCGACAATGTATTCTTTATTTCTTGTTGATCCCTTATTATTTCTTGTTGATCCCTTTTCATCTCCTCATAGGTCTTATCGACCTTTTCTAGGAAATTCTTGAAAAACCTTATAAGTGTGGTTTTGAACTCTATATCCAGTCTCTTCTTTTCCTCCATTTCTTTTGTTTGTGATCTATTTCCTTGTCTCGGCATTTTCACAGCTTCCCTGAGTTGGTAGGGTGGCTTTGTGTGCTAAGGTGTCCTATATGGTTCAGTGAGTCAGCCTCCCAGTTACATGAGGTGGACAGTCTTGGTGTCAGTTTTGTATTTTGTTGTTTCTTTAAAACAACTATACCAAGCAATCCTGCCCCCCTCGCCCCCCTTTTTTATTTTTTTGAGAAATGAGAGTTTGAAACAGGAATTGCTTCTGCAGTGCCATTGGCTTGTTTCACTCAGAATTCAAGACCTAGCTTCTCTAGAGAATAAGCAGAGAATGCTCTAGTAAGGAGTAAGTATCAGAGAGTAAATTGCTTAGGTTTTGGCTCAAGATTGACGGCAATGTGGTAACTGCCCTGGGGGGTTAGTTTTAAGGTCAGTAATAACGGACAAAGATACAATATCCTTTTGTTTTGTGATATATCACACCATTCTGACCTATGAAACGACTTCAGGCCTCTTCACTGAAGCATTTACTGTTGCCCTGGCATGATAGGCCTGCTTGGAAAATGTTCAGTGTTTATGAGTCTTTTAGCACAGGAACTATGAGCAGGCCTCACATAATATGACAGTTGAGACATAGAGAAGGGAGTTATTTCTGGAGTGCCACGAATATGTCGTGCATTAAATCCAGGATTCAAGCTCTGCCAGAGAGCAGGTAGAGCAGAGTATGGTAAAGAGGAAGTAAGCAGTAAGAAGTAAATTAGAGTTGGATCTGGGCTATGCTACTAACAACAGTGATGATGATGGTGATAGTGTTGCCTCTTAATAATATTAGTAATATTAATATTATTATGATTGACAGCTTGCATTCTTAAGTTAAAATTGTTCTAGAACCTTATGTCCATTTTAAAAAAATATATTTTATTGATTTTACACAGAGAGGAATTGAGAGGGACAGAGAGTTAGAAACATCGATGAGAGAGAATCATCGATCAGCTGCCTCTTGCACAGCCCTCACTGGGGATGTGCCCGCAACCAAGGTACATGCCCTTGACCGGAATCGAACCCAGGACCTTTCAGTCCGCAGGTCGACGTTCTATCCACTGAGCCAAACCGGTCCCGGCTAGAACCTTATGTCCATTGTCTCATTTAATCCTCACAATAACTCTGGGAGATAGATTTTATTATTATCCTTGTTTTATAGATGAAGAAACTCCCATTGCTTTGTGGATACTGTTAAGGTCCAAATAGTGCACAGAAATATGTCTACTTTTATGGCATACTGTATCATATTCTTCTGACCGATTTAGAGTACCTTAGGGCTATCATTGCAGCCTGTAGTATTTTTACTACCAATATGCCACTGCTCATACATTTGGTGGGTGCTTTTGTATCTTTTTAGAGCTTACACTCCAGGCAGCAGCCATGTCTCAGGACAGCTGAAAGAAGGCAAGATATGTTTCTGGATGGCCATCAGCACCTTCCAGCCAAGCACCAGAGAGAGGCTTCCAGCAGAAGGCAGGTATGAGCAGTAGAATGCAAACAGGAGTATAGGCACTTACTGAGCTGCAGGTGGTAAGGCTGAGCAAAAATCAGATTCTTGTTTTACATCATAGAGTGTAAAACCTATCCTGACCTAAAATTCCTCTAGGGCTCTCACTGAAGCCTACAGCATTGTCAGGAGCACTTGTTGCCTATTTTATATTTTATATGTATGTTCTTTGTGAAAGGTGTATTTCTGGTGGCTCTTCTCTTTTATGGTGTGAGAGAATGAGTGGTTTCTGAAAGGGGGAAGGTCAGGGGGATCTTACAGCTAATGACTAGATCTCCCTCATTAGCTGCTAGAGCATATGGCAGGGTCAGCAAGAAATAAACTATTCAGAGTTTGGACTGGAGCTTGTTAGCGTTTTGTAATATTGTCTGAAGTTTTGGTGTTTTGAGTAAAGATCAATGGTTTTTCAAGAAAATCTATACTAATAATAGAGGAATATGCAAATTGTCCAGGACGCCATCACAATAACAGTAATGACCAGCAGGGAGATTATGAGAGACTACCAAATGACTGAACAGCAGACTGCATGGGGTGACCAGGCCAGCGGGGCGGGGGATCCTGGATTCTCTTGCTACCTTTACTTCTGTGTCCAATTCTAAATGTTGTAAGACTTTGGCTTCTGTCAAAATCCTCTAAAGAATGTTGCATCCTTTTTGTTTGCAGCAGCATCACCGGGCTGGGTTCAGGCTCTCAGTCGTTTCTCACCTTCTGTGAACAGTGACTTCAGTGTTAGTTCAGTTCTCAAAGCCTTCGTTGTACTCCTCTAGGTCCACCCCTGTGCACACACAGCTCAGGGTGACTCTGGGATGTGTGCCAGTTCATAAAGGATCTACTTTTCTAGCTCGCTCCCCTTCAGGATACCCACCCTCTACACTCCCAGATCCCACTGACGACAATTTTTCTTATAGTCAAGAGGGAGTAAGGGGAGGGGGGCACTGGGAGGCAATCGTGGGCTTACTCCTTCACCAGTGCTGGAAGTCTAGTTTTTCTTACCTTTTTGAAAGCAGAAAATAATTTTATTTTAAAATATATATATATTTTATTGATTTTTTTTTTTTTTTTTACAGAGAGAAAGAGAGAGGGATAGAGAACTAGAAACATCGACCAGCTGCCTCCTGCACATCCCCTACTGGGGATGTGCCCGCAACCAATGTACATGTCCTTGACCGGAATCGAACCTGGGACCTTTGAGTCCACAGACCAACGCTCTATCCACTGAACCAAACCGGTTTTGGCAATAATTTCATTTTTATTGTAGCAAAAATAAAATCCAAACAGGAAGGAAAAACTCCACAAAAATTCCAGAGAGAACCATCATAAGCCTTTTGCTATTTCTCATTTTTCAATTTTACCATAACAAAAAATCACTTTAAAAAGAATAGCCTTATTGAGATATACAGTCAAATCTTGTCATTCACGGCAGTTATGTTCTATATGGTTGCCTCAAACACCAAATTAGTGAATACCAAACCATTGCTTCTAGGGAAGATATGGGTTAGATTCCTGGGAGCATCTGATCACATTTTTGTTAGCTGATAAATACATTACCTTATTGTATATGAACTGTTTAAAGACCCCTTATTTAATATAGCATTCTAGAGGCCCAGCATGCACGAAATTGTGCATGGTTAGGGTCCCTAGGAAATCTGCCCACTCACCAGTCCCTGCTGCCACCCCCTGGTTTGCCATGGTTCCCCGATTGCAGCATGACCCCAGTTCCCCAGAGCCTGTGGGCTGGGGGCAGGGACCAAGAGATCGCCATTTCTCCCTCTCCTCGCCCTGCTGCCACTCACCTTGGTTTGCTGTGGTTTCCCATTCACCAAGCTGTGATTGGAGCCTGAGGGCTGGGGGAAGGAGCAAGAGGTCACTGTTCTGCCCACTCATCAGTCCTGCCCCACCCCGCTGCCACTGACCTCAGTTCGCAGTGATTCCCTGATCTCCTCATAGCTCTAGTTCCCAGGAGTCTGCGGCCAGGGGGAGGGACCAAGATGTTGCTGTTCCACCTGCTCACCAGTCCTGTCCTGCCCGCTGCCACTCACCTTGGTTCACTGAGGTTCCCCATTTGCTATCCTGCTATCAGATACTGCGGGCTGAGGGGAAGGGACCAAGAGGTGCTCAGTGCACTTCATGGTGACCGGTCGTTTGGTCATCCTGGTCGTCACAGACACTGCTTTATATATATATATAGTTGAGTTTTTGCCTTTCAATTATTGAGTTATGTGAGTTCTTAGTATATTCTATATATAGGTTCCTTTTTAGTTACATGATTTACAAATGTTTTTATTTGCCATTCTGTGGTTTGTATTTTTACTTTCTGGATGGTTTATTTTGTAGCCACAAAAATCTTAATTTTGATGAAAACCAGTTAATCTATTTTTCTTTTTGTGGCATTTGATTTTGGTGTTCCTGTAAGAATTTTGTATCTCTTACATTTAGGTCTGTGATTCACTTGGAGTTAAGTTTTGTATGTAGTGTTAGATAGGGGTCTAACTTTATTCTTTTTCATGTGGATATCCAGTTATCCTAACACTATTAGTTGAAAAGATTATTCTTACCCATTGAATTCTCTTGGCACTCTTGTCAATAATCATTTGAATGTGAATAAAGGGTTTATTTCTGAAAAGTCATTTCTACTTTGTTGATCTATATAATCTATTCTTATCCTGGTACCACACAATCTTTGATTACTCTACTTTTGTAGTAAGTTTTGAAATTGGGAAGAGTGAATACTCCAACTTTGTCTTCTATTCTAATATCATCTCAGCTATTTTGGCCCCCTTGCATTTTTGTATAAATTCAAGAGTCACCAAGGCAAACCAGCTAGGGTCTGAATCTTTTTCTTTGATTTATTGTTTTTATTTGGTTAATTCATTCTGAAAGTACTGCTTTTTATTCTTTTTAAAATTTTATTCATATATATTTTGAATTTTATGATACATATATATAAAGTTATATATCATAATTTTATATATATCAAAATTTTATTATATATATATACACATATATGGGTTTTTATACAGTTGAGCTCAAGGTTGCAGGAGAAAATAATCAATAGATGGAAATATCAAAAGTGTACAGGGACTAATTTTTAGCAGTCTTGTCACTTTGTTTGACTGGACTTTTTAACAGGTTTATGATAAATATCAATCAGGATGGAACACTGAATTCCAAATTCCACTAGGACTTCAGTTTGAAGTAAATCAAGAAGAAGACAAAAAAGAGGTATGTAATGATAAATGCTTTTGGACACCAGTGTTGCTACTGTAATAATATATGTGAAATTAGGAATAATTTGTTGTGCCCTAATAATTAAGAGCTAATACTAAAAATTTCATAAAGGCTAAGAAATTACTTGAGTCGTTTTAATATGTTAAACTTCTAAGCTCCTAGGATTTAGGGTACCTTGATGTGAAATCAGAGATATTATCCTAGTGAATTTCTTCAGTTGGTGACATTTGCCACAATAACTTATTTAAAGGGAGATTTCTCATTTCTGGCTTTCTTTTTGCCTCCTTTTTCAATCCAAAGTTAGTTTAAACCAACGGTTTTTAACACTGACCATGCACCAGTATTAGATGTGGAGCTTTTTTCAGATGTATATTGTTTTTGGTATCTGAAAATGTAGGTTTGGGTCATCTGTATTTTTTAAAAAGTATCACTGATGATTGTGCTGAATCTTCAAAATTGAGAACTGCTATTAGACTTTTAATGCTTTTACTAAAAGGTTACAAACATTTCCTTGTGTATACTATTGCCATTTGAGTAGCTTATGTCCTTAAAAGAGAATATATAAACCCAGAAGTATGAATGTATCACACATAATGGTAGCACTTGCGTTTGTTATACCTGTTCCCTTTAAAAGTATAATGCTCTTATATTCCTCAGTCCTCCTTTGCTCCCCACCACTTTAGGCTAGGCTTAGAGTGTGGTTTTAATTTTGAAAAGTTAGTGACTGCTCTTCTGTTATGAGATACGTCTCACATTCTTTCTATGGCCCTGCTTCTATGGTACTTACTACTTGATAATAATAATAAATATAGTATATATTTTATCATACCAAATATAGACATTTCCTCAAGTGCCGTTACTAAGAGCAAACTAAATTAGTACTTCTTTTTCTGACCTGTCTATAACCATGTGCTTGAAGATATAAAGGTTTTGCTGTATGTGATATCCTGAGCCACCGGAAATAGAAGGAAATAAAGGACTTAGTTCCATGTGGCTTCCATATCATATCGTTTTCTTGTCTAAGGCCCAAAGATAATTTCTTCTCTCTTGGAAAGTGCTCTGAGAGCAGAATCTTACCAATTTTAACTTCTTTCCTTTAGCGTCAAAAGCGGTACCTGAGATATAGGCGACTTTTCATGAATATTGAAAGAGAAAAAGTAAAAGAACAACAAAGGCAAAGAGAATACAGGAAGCGAATTGAAAAGTGAGTTTTTTGATCCTCATTGTGATCCTTAAATTACTAGTTAAGGCGATTTGAGAAGCTAAGTTTTAGAAATAATCAGGTAGTGGTTTTGCCTTCTCAGCCATAGTAGGAACAACTATTTTTGATCTGGATAGAGGTATTGATAGATGGTTAAGGGCTATGTTTTTAAACAGTTATAGTTAAGCAGAAAGTACAAAGGGTTCCCACTTCTTTTACTGTTAACATCCTGTACCACCATGGTGCATTTGTTATAACTGATAAACCTATGTGGACGCATTATAATCCATATTTTACATTCGGATTCACTCTTGGTACAGTAGATTCTTACAGTTTTGACAAATGTATAATGACAGGTACCCATCATTACAGTATCACACAGAATAGTTTCACTGCTCTAAAAATCCCGGCCTACACTGTTTATTCATCTCTCCCTCCCCCAGTCCCTGGCAACCACTGACCTTTTCACTGTCTCCATTGTGTACTGTTTCCAGAAAGCCGCAGAGTTGTAATCGTGCAGGAAGTAGCCAAAAAGCCTGTTCAATTGACTCCTTTCACTTAGTAATACGCTTTAAGGTTCCTCCAACGCCTTTTCATGGCTTGGTAGCTCATTTCTTTTTATTGTCCAATAATATTATATTGTCTGAATGTACCACAGTTTATTTATCCTTTCACCTGCTGAAGGACATATTGGTTTCTTCCAAGCTTTGGCAATTATGAATAAAGTTTCTATAAATACTCATATATAGGTTTTATGTGGGCATACATTTTTAATTCCTTTGGGTAAATTCCAAGGAGTGAGTTTGCTGGATTTGCATGGTAAGATTTTGTTTAATTTGGATAGAAATTGCCAAGCTTTCTTTCATAGTGGCCAAACCATTTTTGCATTCCACCAGCAGTGAATGAGAATTCTTGTTGTTTCACATCCTTGCCAGCATTTGGTGTTTTCGGTGTTTTGGCTTTTGGCCATTCTTAAGTATCTAATAGTATCCCATTGTTTTAATTTGCAATTCTGTAATGACGTATGATGTGGAACATCTTTTTATATACAACTGACCCTGGAACAATGTTGGGCACCAGCTCCCCCGCACAGTTGGATATTTGCATATTGCTTTTGACTCCTCAAAAACTTAACTACAGTTATCTCATATTTATGGGGGAATGGTTCTAGGGCCCCCATGGATACCAAAATCTGTGGATGCTCAAGTCCCTTATATATGGTAAGGCATTGGCATTGGCATTGGCATTCATGGATTCCTGACTCTAGATTGGAAATACTGTTACCATCTGTGGTGATTGAGTCCACATGTGCAAAGTTGGGTAAAGAGCTTGTATGTCATGACAAGGAATTTGGATTTTATCCTGAAAACAGGAGCCATATAGAGGCATTGTGGGGAACAGATGACCGCAACTAGATATTAGGAGATCATTGAAGTAATACACTTAGAAGGTGAGAGGTGAAATTAAATTTTAAACGAAGTCCTATTATAATAAACTTCTTACTGTGTGTCAAGCACTTTACATAATTGTCTCTAATTGGTACACAATCCTGCAGGATAGTGGTTACTTCTCTTCCCTGAGTGTTTACAGTGTGCCAGGCACAGTGTTGAGTATTTTAGAGGCATTAGTTCATTTCTTCACTTCAGTAACCTTGTGAGGTAATTTTTATTCTTTTTCTTTTACAGATGAAAAAAATGAACCCTAGAGAAGTGAAGTAACTTGCCTAAGATCTTACTTAGCGATAGTAGATCTGGGATTCTGCCCCAGATTTAGTTGACCCCAGCACCTAACCTCTTTGGATCTGTAACACAGTCTTACAGATAAGCCAGGCAGGAGGCAATGAGGAGAAGGCAGTTTTAAGAGCACACGAGGATAATTGATAAGATTTTGTCAGAGAATTCAAGCATAAATTTTAGGTTTATGATTTAGGCCACCAGGTAAATGGGGTGCTATAAAGCAGATTTGCCAGGAAGGAGTAGGTAAGAGGTGGGGAGTATACATTTAATTTGGAGCATATTGGGTTTGGCGTGCTTAAAGGAAATCCAAGTAGAGAGTCCAGTAGGAAATAATTCAGTTATTTTTAGTAATGATTTTAAAAATCTCTAAGAAAGAATGCTGTCAGAATCAGGAAACAGGAGACAGGAAGGTTGAAAGAAAAACAGGATCAGCAGGCAAAGATTAGACCATACTAGATTAACCTTAATCCTGTTCTGTCAAAGAGGAAGATTTCTTCCACTTCCTTCAGAAGTTATTTTTCTAACAGGACACTTCTTTAACTCCTGAAGTAAAGCTGTTTCTTAATCTTAGAAGCAGAATCCTTTTAACTTTGTAAAAGATTAGTAGTGTGGCCTTATCTTATGGTAGATGACTGAGTAACAAGAGTTTTTGAGTTGTTGAAATGATAAGAATACTAGAGGCCTGGTGCACAAAGTTTGTGCACTGGGGGAGGCTCTCAGCCTGGCCTGTGCCCTCTTGTAGTCTGGGAGCCCTTGGGGGATGTCCGACTAACAGCTTAGGCCTGCTCCCCACGGGCAGTCAAACATCCTTAGCACTGCCACAGAGGCGGGAGAGGCACCTGCCACCACTGCTCTGCTCACCAGCTGCGAGTTCGGCTTCTGGCTGAGCGGCACTCCCACTGTGGGAGCACACTGACCACCAGGGAGTAACTTCTATGCTGAGCAGGATCAGGCTGAGACTGGTTCTCCAACATCCCCGGAAGGGTCTCGGATTGCAAGATGGCGCAGGCCAGACTAAGGGACCTCACTGGTGCATGATCGGGCCAGGAAGGGATGCAGGAGTTTGGTCAGCCTGGGAGGGACTGCGGGAGGGCTCCAGGGCATGTCTGGCCCATCCTGATCAGCTGGACTCCAGCAGCAAGCTAACCTACTGATCAGAGTGTCTGCCCCCTGGTGGTCAGTGCACATCATGGAAAGTGGTTTAGCGGCCTTAGCATATCATTAGCTTTGGTGAACAGATGGCCGGACACTTAGCATATTAGGCTTTTATTATATAGGGTGCTTTTATTGTAGTTTGCCTGTGATATCATTTTATTTTTAGGAGTCTCTTTAAAATGTAAATATTGATGTATACTTGTTTCATTGTGCAAATACATGGGATAGCAATATTATATTAGTCCTTTAAAAATTTTTTTTAAATCAACCCTAATCAGTTTGTCTCAGTGGATAGAACATCAGCCTGCGGACTCAAGGGTCCCAGGTTTGATTCCGGTCAAGGGCATGTACCTTAGTTGCGGGCACATACCCAGTGGGGAGTGTGCAGGAGGCAGCTCATCAATGTTTTTAACTCTCTATCCCTCTCCCTTCCTTTCTGTAAAAAATCAACAAAATATATTGTTTTAAAATTTTTTTAAATCATAGTTGACATTCAGTATTATATTCATTTCAGGTAAACAACATACTAGTTAGACATTTATATAACTTCCAAAGTGATCTCCCCTGGTAGTTTCTTTACCCACCTGGCATCACACATAGCTATTACAATACTATTGACTATATTTCCTATTCTGTACTTTACATTCTCTTGACTATCTTAACTGCCAATCGGCACTTCTTAATCCCTTCGCCTTCCCCTTTCCTGCCTCCAGCCCCTTCCCAACTGGCAACCACCAGTTTGTTCTCTCTCTATATGACTTTGTTTCTGTTGTGTTTGTTCCTGTTATTTAGACTCCACATATAAGTGAAATTATATGGTATTTGTTTTTTTCTGACTTATTTCACTTATAATACCCTCTAGATCTATTCATGCTGTTGCAAATGGTAAGATTTCATTCTTCTTTATGGCCGAGTAATACTCCATTGTATATATGTACCACATCTTTATTCACTTTCCTGTTGAACACTCAGGTTGTTTCCATATTTTGGCTATTGTGTATAAAATGTTCTTCATTGCTTTTTGTGACAGCCTTTGTTTTAAAGTCCGTTTTGTCTGACATAAGTATTGCTATTCCAGCTTTTGTTGTTGTTTCCATTTGTATGAAATATCTTTTTCCATACCTTATTTTCAGTTTATGTTTGTCTTTCAATCTGAAGTGAAGTGGGTTTCTTGTAGACAGCATATATATGAGTCTTATTTTGTTGTCTTTTAATTGGAGTACTTAATCCATTTACAAGTAAAGTGATTATTGATAGGTATATATTTATTGCCATTTTCTTTCTTTTTAAAAAATGTTTTTTATTTATTTCAGAGAGGAAGGGAGAGGAAAGGAGAGATAGAAACATCAATGATGAGAGAGAATCATTGATTGGCTGCCTCCTGCACGCTCCCTACTGGGGATCAAGCCCGCAAACCGGAGCCAAACTGTCTATGGCTATTGCCATTTTCTTTATAATTATGGCCCTCTTTTTTTATTTTCTTAAAGAAGTCCATTTAACATTTCTGGTAATGCTGTTTTGGTGGCAATGAGCTTCTTTAGCTTTTCTTTTTCTAGGGCGCTCTTGATGTCTCCTTTAATTCTAAATACTGGTAATAGCCTTGCTAGGTAGAATAATCTTGGTTGTAGGTCCTTGCTTTTTATCTGTTTGAATATGTTGTGCTGGTTCCTGTAGTCTGCAACATTCCTGTTGAGAAATCAGCTGACAGTTTTATGGGACCTACCTTGTTTGCAATTTATTGCTTTTACTAGAAGTCTGACAATGGTTTCAGAATACCTTTAGCATACCAACAAACTACAATAATTATATTCACATCAGTGCTTGGGGAAAAAAGCATATATTGACATATTGATTTCTGACCTAGTTTAATTTTTATTGTGTTTAAGTAAAAGATATATTTATGCAAGAGGCCTTAAAAGGCACCAGAAAAGATTAAAACTGTGTTTATAAAATAATTATTTATAACAACTTTTTAATGTATCTTTGTCATTTTTTTCTTTTTTAATCCTCACCAGAGGATATTTGTCCATTGATTTTCAAATGTAGTGGAAGGTGAGGGCGGGGGGGGGGGGGGGGGGGGGAGAGAAGAGAGAGAGAAAGAATTATGGTCATGAGAGAGATATATTGATTGTTGTCTTTTGCACACACCCTGTCCGGTTTCGGGGATTGAACCACAATGCAGGTATGTGCTGTTGTCCTGGAATCAAACTTGAGACCTTTTGGTCTGTGGGCCAAACTCTGACCACTGAGCAGGGAATCTTTGTCATTTTTATTTGATGATCCTTTTGAAACTACTATATGGCAATAGTTCTTAACCTGAGAATCTGACCAAAGCTATGGATTCTTTTCCCAGAAAAATACCATTGAAATACTATGGTGGAAATGTCAAATTGGCAAGTAGTTAAATAGGTTTGAATTTTAGGGGGACAGTCCATGATGGAGCTGTAGCTTTATGAGTTACAGGTGGTAGTGGATGGTAACTGACAACAGGGATACAACAATAGCTATTCAGTGTGAATGAATCAAAATTATATCTTTTTTTTTTTTTTGTCAGATTGGCAAAAAACGTTTCTTGGTGTGCCTCAGAATTTTAGTAATGTGTTTATGTGTGCCATGAGATGAAAAAGGTTGAAAATTGCTGTGCTGGATGGATTAAATGATCTGTACGCCATTGATTTTAAGAGAGAGCTGGTTTAGTGAAACAATTCATAGGTCTTAAAGCCATATTGGAGTGGGTGAGGACACCAGGAAATAAAGACGGGGGATAAGTGGAAAGGCTGATTCCATCATTTATAGTAACTGCCCTGTTATTAAGACCTAGGTGCCAATATTTGAAAAACATTGGTATAGGGAATAATTGGTATAGGGAATTATAAGTGACTTAGCTTTCCTGTTGTCATTCACTTGGTTCTATTTAAATTTTACCAATGAAAGCCTCAATTTCATTAATTATTTACAGAAACATATTTGCCTTTTTCATAAGGTAAGTAGTTGTTGAACTAAGCAAATATGAATGATCTCAAAATGCTTTTCTTTCCTGGCTCTCTTTGGAATAAAATCTCTATGTTAGTAGATCCTGAACCAAGAGCCCCTGTGATCTTTTAACTCTAGTGCCCTTTCAGAGAGCAAGGCAACATATATTTTCAAGTCAGTTGTGAATGAGCATGTGCCTGTTTTGACCTTTCTCCCACATTACCTTTCTCACATTCCTAGGTCACTGCCTTATATGTCTTTACTTCTTAATCTAACAAAAGGAACACCTTAATTCCCCTGGAGTAATTAGCCTGCAACTAATGGGTAGCCCAAAGTTTTCCATAGTCAATGATTTATTAAGAGTGTGAATTGATTTCATACTGCTGTTCAGAAAATAGTAACTCATTTGTTTCAAAGTAATTTTTAGAAACTTAAATTATCAGCATATGTTTATAAGTTCTAGTCCTGAGTTAGTCCTATTTCTTAACAAAAGTTCTTTACTTAGGTTTCTTATGAATCAATGAATTATTCATTTCCTCTCTACTTGTTTTAAAAATAAGTATAAAAATATTCAAGAAACTGCACCTATCTAAAGTATAAACTTTGATATTTTGATATATATATATATATTTTAGCCAATATATACTTTGCAAAAATTTTCCATCATCTTCAAAGGTTTCCTGATGCCCATGGTAGCCCCTCTTTCCTGCCTGATCCCTTCTCCTCTGGACCACTGGTTTGCTTTAGGTCACTATAGATTAGTTTGCATTTTCTAGTTCATAAGTGTGTGTGTGTGTGTGTGTGTGTGTGTGTGTGTGTGTGTATGTGTGTGTATGTGTATAAAAGACTAAAATGCAAAGTGTCACCTCGGGATTTCAACTGGGAGACCGGGAGTTCTATTATTCGCTATGATGTGTGTTGACCACAAGGGGGCAGCATGGAATGAAGGAAGGCCCCGGCCAGCCAGCAGCCAGAAGGCTCCAGTTGGCCCTGATCACTGGCCAGGCCTAGAGACCCTACCCATCCACAAATTTCATCCACTGGACCTCTAGTATGTATGTATGTTTGTGTGTGTGTGTGTGTGTGTGTCTTGTGCTCAGCTCCAATTACTCCACATTATTATTTTGAGATTCATCCTTATTGTGTGTATAAAGAGTTCATTCACTTTTGCTATTGAATAGTATTCCATTGTATGTATATATCACACTTTGTTTATTCATATATGGGTTGGTGGACATTTGAGTTATTTCCAGTTATTTGCTATTACAAATAAATAGTCATGTACAAGTCTTTCAAAATACTTTTTCTCTTTGGCAAATACCTGGGAATTTATATGATAGGTATAAATTTTTTTTTTTTTAAAGAAGCTGTCAAAATGTTTTTCAAAGTGGTTATACCATTTAATATTACCATCAGCAGTGTAAGTTTCTTTACATTTTCACCAATACTTCATATGGTGGTCAGTCCTTTTTATTTTAGCCATTTGAATATAGGTTTGTAGTGGTATCTTATTACGGCTTAATTTGCATTTTCCGAATGACTAAAGTTCTTGAGCATCTTTTCAAATATATATTGTTTTTTGTTGAAATTTCTGTTCAAATCCAAATTTTTAAATTAGTTGTCTTATTGTTGAGTTTTAAGAGCTTTTAAATGAATTCAGATATAAGTCCTTTAGCCAATATATACTTTGCAAAAATTTTCTCCCAGTCTGTAACGTGTCTTTTTGTTAAGAAAAAAAAAAAAGTTTTTATTGATTTCAGAGAAAGGGAGAGAGAGAAGAATATTGATCGGCTTCCTCCTGCATGCCCCCTCCTGGAGATTGAGCCCACAACCCAGTTACCTGCCCTGACTGGGAATCAAACTGGCAACAACCTGGTTTATGCGACAACGCTCAACGAACTGAGCCACACTGGCCAGGCTTCAGTGTATTTTTCATCTCAAAAATTAAAGTCTTATTAAGATGCTTGATTTCATTTTTTTCATATCTTAATTTTTGAACATATAGAATATAGTTATAATAAATAACTGTTTTAATATTCTGATGTGCTAATTCTAATAACTGTCAGGTCTCCATTGGCTTTGATTGCTTGATTATGCTCTTCATTATGAGTTGTGATTTCCTTCTTTTTAGCATGCTGGGTAATCTTTGATTAGACGTCCGTCATTATGACTTTTACTTTGTTGGTTGCTGGATATCTTTATATTCTTACGAATTTCCCTGAGCTTTGTTTTCAGAGGCAGTTAAGTTACCTGGGGGCTTTGCTTTTACAGTTTGTCAGGTGTGTTTGGAGCAGTGCTCGGTGTAGGACTAATTATTATTCCCCCCAACTGACAGAGATCGTCCTGAAAACTACCCAGTGCCGTGTGCATGATGAGTTTTTAAGTCTGACTGCGGAACGAGGCACTGTTCCCTGATGTCCTTTTAGGTGGCTCTGTCCCTCCCTCAGGCCTTTCCTCACATGCACGCACAGTAACTCTGCTGGGTGTTAGAAGAAGCCCCTCTGTAGGTCTCTGAGTCCTCTCTCTGAGCAGCTCTCTCCTTCCTGGTATTCTGTCTTGTGAACTCTGGTTGCCTGTGTGTCCCTGCACTTTCACCTTCATCTCCTCAGCTCAGGGAATCCACTAGGCTCTGCCTCAACTGCTCTGCCCTGTACTGCTGCCTGGAAACTACAGCCAGTAAGCTCGGGCAGTTACTGGGCTCACCTCATCTGTCAAGGATCACTGTCTTTCGTTGCCTGATGTCCAGAATTTTGAAAACAATATTTTTTGTGTGTATTTTGTCTGGTTGTTTAGTTAGTTGGCTGGTTTGTTTGTTTGTTTGTTTGTTTGTTTATGTACTAGGGGCCTGATGCAGGAAATTGGTTTAAGGGGCTCCGCCACGAGGCCACCTCCTCTGCCTCAGCCCTGCCTGCCGCCACCTTGGTCCTCACAGCCCCAGCTTCGTCTGGAAGGTCGACCAGAAGGATATCCAGCAATTAGCCTATTATGCTTTTATTATTATAGGCTTGGTTGTGTAGGGTGGCAGGGAAGGTCTGATTTCTGGACCCTGTTACTCCATTTTTGCCAAAAATAGAAGTCCTGTCTACTTGTAGTTTTAATCTCAGAAAGCTCTTGTATTTGGATTCTTATAGACAAATTCTTGATGGTAACCTCTCATTTCCGTTTGAGAGGCTCTCTCTATATACATGAGCTGTAGGATAAACTCAGATGAACCGGCTGGAGTTTTGGAAGCTGTTCCAAACTGATTTTCTGACTCCCTTAATTCTGGGAACTTCCTGAGTTATTTGGACCTACAAGCTCATTCTAAATAACGATTTAAAAAAAAATTCCTGAACGTGTTATGATTTTATTCTCAGAATTAAGAGAAAGAAAGAGCAGCAACGTTATGCTGAAGAGCAGAGGCTATTGAGAAGGAACTTTCAAGAAGAGCCGCCTACAGGGGAGATGAGCGAAATGTTAGCGCAGCTACGGCTCGAAGAAGTGAAAGAAGCCAGAGAAAAACAGCAACGAAGAGAAAGGGAATACCAAAGGTACTTCCAATTTTTTTTGCATGAAATTCTGGATCTAGAAGGGACTTATGCTCATTCTCTTTCTAATAGTTCCCTGATCATACTGTGTTTCTATAGGTATCTAGAAGCTTTAAGGGTCCAGATCCGAGAGAAAATGCAGCTTTATAATATTACTTTACCTCCACTCTGTGGCTGTGGTCCTGACTTTTGGGACGCTCACCCTAATACCTGTGCCAACAATTGTATTTTCTATAAAAACCACAGAGGTAAGTCTCTTCAAGGAATGATTATGGCCTGGTAGCAATTTTTTAGAAGTAGTGATTATAATCATTTAGCATTTATTGAGTGCTTACTATAAGCCAGAGGCTGTTACAACCCTTTACAAAACAACCCAAGGCAATAGAAATAAGTGATAGTGATTTCTGTTTCTCTTTGAGATCTGTTATCATCCTGTCTCCATTTATGCTGGGGAAGTGGTCCAGCTTACTCTACTGTAGGTTCTAGGTTTTTCTGTAAACGAAGAATTGTTAGTTTGCCTTTTATGGCCATTAAGTTAGGCCTCTGTCTAGTTGAATTCCCTGTTATCCAAAGACTTTAATGTTACCTAACACATATTTATAACCATATATATCCACTTTAGACTGCCAGTTCTGCCAGGGACCCTGAGGAAAATGAGGACAGTGTCAATTCTGTCGTTAGCAGGAATCCCAGCTGGAGAAAATTGAGTCCTTCCTATTGTCACTAATGTTTCTGTTTCCTGTCCATCCTTAAATATATTGTGACTATTGATACACGCACTGAAACTACTGCAAGTATACACATTCCTGGTGCATTTGTGTGATCGGAGTTTCTTATCAGTTCTGTGAGTTATATTTAAAAAACACAGATCTGATGCCTGGCCAGTGCGGCTCAGTGGGTGAGCATTGACCTAGGAACCAGGAGGTCAGGGTTTGATTCCTGGTCCTGGCACATGCCTGGGTACAGTGTGGGGCGTGCAGGGGGCAGTCTATCTGTGATAGTGAGTTCTATTTCTCTTTGAGATCTGTTATCATCCTGTGTTTCTATTTCATCATTGATGTTTCTATTTCTCTTTCCCTCTCCCTTCCTCTCTGAAATCAATAAAAATAAAACCTTACAGATCTGATGATGCCATTCCCCTATTCTCAAATCTCTGGGTTTTTACAGTACAAAATGCACCGCCTATTTGGTATATTTTCTCTCTGGCCCCACACAAGACTCTCTAGCCTTATCAAACTTGCTATTGTCACACACCAATACATGTCACATTTTTTGTTATACCTTTGGGACCTCACACGTTGATTCCCTGCCTAAAATGCCTTCTTTCCTTTACTCTTATTAAACCTTCAGACCATCTGAAATGTCCACTCTCAGATAGTTTAATTCATTCCGAACTTCATTATGTGATGACATCTTGTGTGTGTGTCTGGGTTGGAAGTATTGCACTGCAATTATTTTTGTCCATCCTCTCCAGTATCTTTTCTTCCTCACGGAGAGTTTGGCTTGTAGTAAGTACTCAATAAATATTTACTCAATAGGTAAAGTTAATACCTATGAAACTGGGCGGAGAAGCAGTAGTAATAGGAAAGAGATTGGGAGAGGTGTTTAAAATGTGACTTCATTCATCAATGTTCAACCTTTATTTGCAGCATATACCCGGGCACTATATTCAGTCATCAATTCCTGTGATACCCCTAGGTGGACCTTGAGTCTTCGAGCTGCCATTCATAATTTTGCTTCTGCATACAGACGGACTTTGAAATATGTATATTTAGAATCTGAAATCAACTGTTAGTATTTCAGCCTTCACTTAAAATCAACTCTCTGAGAGATTGTTTAGGAAAAACTGTTGAAGTGTATAATCTGGAAAGGAAGACTGTCCGTGTAACAACAGTCTCTACAATTATATTGGAACCATTGTTTCAGTCTCCACCTTGGGACCATGATGGAAAGTTGACTTCCACACTTGTCTCTTTGCTGTGAACCATGTGGAGTCTTATTGTTTTAAAAACGATCAATCAGACCAGTAAGGTTTATCTTACTTTGCTCTGTTCCGATCTGAAGAGATCATGAGAAATTTTGGAGATTATCTTGTTTATTGTCTTTCTAAAACTGTATCGTTGAGTCTTAATAGAATTGGAGATGTCTGGATGAAGCAGAAAAGAAAGATGATGAAATGAGTTTCCGAGCATCAGTGGCCATCTAGATTCCTGCAGCTCTCTAGTTGTGTATATAACAATTAGAGAAAAAGGATTTGAATTTGATGCACTTTTTTTCTAAAAATTTCTTTTGGGGGGAGGGATATATGTGTGTTTTTTTTACCTTATTACCTCTTTCCCCATTCAGTGAATTGGGCATAAACCTTTTTAATTTTATAATTTTTATTTCCAAAAAAAGGGAAAATAAACCCTCTGTCTTTTGAGCATCTTCTTTGTGAAATAATTACGAGTGACATTTCAAAAGTGAGTCTGAAGTCAAAGTGAGTAAAATCCTGCCTCAGTTCCCAATCTTTTAAAAATGTGGTGAATGGCATACCTTCAGAACAGATGAAATAAAAATTCCTATAATTAAGTATTAATTTGTTATTTTTTTATAGTGCTTTTTAACATAAAATATGAAAAGGTTTAATATTGTGAATTAAAGGATACTGGCAGTTTCTTTTTCATACTTTCTCTAATGAACATTGTTGAGCATTTAGGTTATGTCTCAAAAACACCTAAACATCTAACCAGGTCATGGAAAATAAGGATCAAAATGATCTTTGTGACAAAATCTATTGGTTATTTAACTAGATTCATTGTCCAGTTCAGTAAAATCTTTAAATAACTATATCCTTGATTCAGCCTTTATAACAGCTTTATTGAGATATAATTCATATGCCATATGATTTACCCGTCTGCAGTATACAATTCAGTGGTTTTAAGTATTCTGTCAAATTTTAGAACACTTTCATCACCCTAAGGCGATGCCTCCATGATCCAGCAATCCTACTTCTGGATCTATATCCAAAAGAATTAAAAACAAGATCTTGAAGAGAGATTTGCACGCCCATGTTCATTGCAGCACTAATTCGCAATAGCCAAGAAGTGGAAGTAACACAAATATCCACCTACAGATGAGTGGATAAACAGAACGTGGTATAGACATAAAATGGAATACTGTTTTCTTCAGCCTTAAAAAAGAAAGAAACCCTGTCACATGCTGTAATATGAATGAGTTTTAAGGAACCATAATCTTCTAAGTGAAGTAAGCAATCACAAAAAGACAAATACTGTATGATTACATTTATATGAGGCACCAAGAGTGCTACAGTTCATAGAGACAAAATTTAGAATGGTCAGACCCAGGAGCTGGTGGGAGGGAAATGGGAAGCTGTCTAATGGGCAGTTTTAATTTTGTAAGATGAATAAGTTCTGGAGATCTGTTTCATAACTATGTTTTGATTAGGAAGTAAGGCAAGGGGTTTTTATGAGAAAGGGAAGGGGAATAATTACGTTAATAGAAGGAAAGGATTTCAGTGGGTGTTAATAAGCTACCATAGTGGCGATAATTCTGAAGAATGTTCCTAATTTTCAGTTGAATAGTCATAACAACTAGGAACAACTGTAAACCTACTTTTGCCCCACCCTGTACAGCCAGAATTGCTGGGTTTTAAGACAGTTCAATATTTTACTTTTTAAGGAACCTCTTTATTGTTTTTCATAGTGGCTACACCAGTCTACATTCCCACCAGCAGTGCACAAAGGTTCCCTTTTCTCCACATCTTTGCCAACACTTGCTTATTGATTTATAGATGACTAGAGGCCCGTTGCAGGAAGATTCCTGCAAGAATAGGGCTTCCTGCAGCCTGAGCAGAAGCTTGCCGAGGCGGGCTTTTCTCCTGCTGCCATCTCCCACAGCAGCCGCTGCCTCCTGACACCCTGCCCCGCTTTCCGCTTTCCCTCCCTCTTCCTTGTACACTGTCTCCAGTCTCTGCTCAGAGCCTGCATATGCAAATTAACTGCCATCTTTGTTGGGTTAATTTGCATAGTCTGATTGACTGGTGGTCGTAGCGAAGTGATGGTCAATTTGCATGTTTCTCCTTTATTAGTGTAGATAGCCATTCTGATAGGTATGAGGGGATATCTCATTGTGATTTTACTTAGCATTTCCCTGGTGATTAGTGACCTTGAGCATCTTTTCATATACTTATTAGCCATCTGTCTGTCCTCTTTGGAGAAATGTCTATTCAATTTCTCTGCTCATTTTTTAATTATATTTTTGTGTTGATTTTTTTTGTAAGTTTTGGATATAAACCCCTAATTGGATGTATCATTGTCAAATATCTCCTTCCATTCAGTAGGCTTTCTTTACGTTTTGTTGATGGTTTCCTTTGCTGTGCAAGGTTTTTAGTTTGATGTAGTCCCATTTGTTTATTTTTTTTCTTTTGTTTCTTGCCCAAGGAGATATATCAAGAAAATATTACTAAGAGAAATGTCTGGTATTTAACTGTGTATGTTTTCTTTAAGGAGTTTTATGCTGTCTAGTCTTACATTTAAGTCTTTAATCCATTTTGAGTTTATTCTTGTATACATTATTAGAAGATGGTCTAGTTTCTTTCTTTTTTGCATATATCTATTCAATTTTCTCAATGCCATTTATTGAATAGACTGTCTTTACCCTATTGTAAGTTCTTCCCTTCTTTGTCAAATATTAATTGACCATAAAGGTGTGGGTTTATTTCTGAGCTCTCTATTCAGTTCCATTTATCCCTATGTCTGTTTTTAAGCCAATACCATGCTATTTTTGAGTACTGGATCCTTGTAGTATAATTTGATATCAGGTAGTGTGATACCTTCAACTTTGTTCTTGCTCAAGATTGTTGTGGCTATTCATATTTTTGGTTTCACATAAATTTTGGATTATTTGTTCTAGTTCTGTGAAAAAGGCTATTGACATTTTGATAGGAATTACATTGAATGTGTAGATTGCTTTGGGTAGTATGGACAATTTAATGATGCTAACACTTCCATTTATTTTTTTCAGTTTCTTCAGTATCTTATGTTTTTTCAAGTATAATCTTTTACTTCCATGGTTAAATTTATTAGCAGGTAGTTTTATTTTATTGGTGCATTTGTAAATGGAATTGTTTTCTTAGTTTCCCTTTCTAGTAGTTCATTATTAGTGTTTAAAAATGCAATTGATTTTTGAATATTTATCTTGTATCCTGCTACTTTACGTAATTCATCAGTTAGTTCTAGTAATCTTTTGGTGGAATCCTTAGGGTTTTCTATTCATAGTATCATGTCATCTGCCAAAAAATGACAGTTTTACTTCTTTCTTTCCAATTTGGAGGACTTTTTTTTTAATTCTTCTTGTCTGATTGCTGTGGCTAGGTCTTCCCGTACCATGCTGAATAAGAGTGGTGTAACTGGACATTCCTGTCTGGTTCCTGATCTTCAAGGAAATGTTTTAAGATATTGACGAATGGGTATAATGTCAGCTGTGGGTATGGCCTTTATTATATGGAGTTGTACTCCTCCTATTCCCACTTTGTTGAGAGTTTTTATCATAAATGGGTGCTGGATTATGTCACTAGATACTTTTCCTGCATCTATTGCTGTGATCATAGGATTTTTTTTTAATCCTCACTTGAGGATTTTTTTTTTTATCCTCAAATTCTCCATTGACTTTAGAGGGAGTGGAAGAGATAGGGAAAGACAGAAAGAAATATTAATGTGAAAAAAACACATTAATTGGTTGCCTCCTGCACATACCATTACCAGGGCCTGGGCTGGGGAGGAGCCTGCAACCAAGGAACATGCCCTTGGCAGAAATTGAACATAGGGCCCTTCAGTCGCAAGCCAATGCTCTATCCACTGAACCAAATCGTCTAGGGCTGATCATATGATTTTTAGCCTTCATTTTGTTTATGTGGTCTGTCATGTTAATTGATTTGTAGATATTGCATCAACCTTACATCCCAGGAATAAATCTTACTTGATCATGGTGAAATGTTTTGCTGAATGTAGTTTGCTAATTTTTTATTGAGAAATTTTGCATCTGTTGGACTATAATTTTCTCTTAGTGTCTTTATCTGGTTTTATAATTCAGATAATGCTGGCCTTGTAAAGAGAGCTTGGGAGCCCTAGCTGGTGTAGCTCATATGATTGGGCGTCATCCCGTTCACCAAAAGGTTGCCAGTTTGATTCCCAGTCAGAGCACATGCCTAGGTTGTGTGGCGTGTGGTATGTAGCCGGTCACTGTTTCTCTCCCTTCCTCTCTCTAAAAATCTAGTGATAGGTTTTACTGTGGAGAGTGTGGTAAGAGTGGGAACAAGTTCATTCAGACTTCAGCATGATCTTGTCCGAGTAGATATAAGTTCAGGAAGTCACACTGGAGTAGAAGGGCAGAACAGAAGAACTGAGGAAAGTATGGGCAGACATCCAGTAAGAGGGAACATAACTCCAGAAAAGCGTGGCTGTGCTGTTCCCCAGAGGGACTTAATCAACTTCCAGGATCCAGGCTAGGAGGTGGAACATACATGTGATAGAAGTAATGTCAGCATGTGGTGGTGGTAGAGGATATTCATGTACTAGTTTTCCTGCAACAACAAAAATGAGAAAGCTGATGCATAACATATTTTCCTGCACAGTCCAACCCAAACAGCTTGCACAAATTGCTCTAATTTAGTCAAGTCTGTCTTTTCCCTTGCATTGTTCCAGTTTATTACTTAATTGTCCAGGCCTCACCCTTGTCTTTTATGATGGGCAGGAATAAGATTGCCAACTTTAATTTCTGAAGAGAGAAGGAGAG